TGACGGGTAACAGAAAAATAAATCTTTTAATCAACATTGCTCAAACTACATGCTACAGAAACTAAAATTCAGATATGACACTTGGTCTAAAAAACCCCGAATATCCATTCAAACTTGAAAGGTCCCACATTCATTTCAGTTTAATTTTCTGAGACTTGTAAAGAGGTTTGTGTACATGTCGAAGTGACAAAACTGGATTTTGGTTTCAGACGGCATTTGATAACCTAATGTACTAAAGCCAGTGATAACCGCTGTTGATTTTTTAAGACACCATCCGCTATCTATGGCTGTGTATATTTGCGCGCTCCAATTAAATTTCCCTTTCACGGAAGCAATTAACATGAAATCTCGACACCCATAGAAGCCTTAATTACGTTTCCCAACCGTCTCTCAATGATACGGCAGCGCCTAATGTATCCGTTTATATAACTAGTTTTAATTATGGATTTTCCTCCAATTTTGTTTATTTACATTTTTGACGCTTTTAACACTCCTGTTTTTATTCGCGATCACACGAAAAGTTTTATTCTTCAAAACTGCATATTTTTTGCCAAAGGGCTTTTTCAATTAAAGAAGAAAAGTAAGCTCTGATTTCACAAAGTAGAATAAAAAAAGACATATTGGTTTCCACACTGAGATTTGTGTAAATAAATGAATTGTTCCCTTTGAGTCACTAAAAATATTCCCTTCTCAAAAGCGAAACCTTTCAGTCACTGAAATTGAGCCTTTAAATATAGAAAGTTGAGTTTGCAACACAACACGAGTCAGCTGACGAGTTGAAAGAAACATTCGATGACTATATATACCTCAGTTTTACATTTTAGGCCTTTTTGTCGACCAGGGAATGACCGATTTGCTAAAATTAAACTTTCTAGACTGTTTGTCAATTTCAACGATTATATACTCTAAAGATCAATTTTGAATTATCGGTTCGCAGATTATTATTCGGTTCGTATTATTATTCCCCGCTGCTCCTTAGTCGACTGCTTAATTTCAGGCAACTGTGAGCCTTATAGAAAACTGAGCGTATAGCTATAGAATAAGACGATCAAGTTTGAAACATGGAATCATTTCCTTGGTGAGACACGAGACTGAATCACTTTCATTAATATAGCTTTATCCTTACCATAAGAAATACGGCAATCAAAGTTTAATCTTGAACAAAAAAATAGCTTCGTTTTATTTTCATTCACTTAGGGTTTAACGGCAGAAGAAAAACGGGTAAATGAGATTTTCGTAGGGCAAATCAATAGCAACGTTAACGGGAGTAATCAGCAGACAAGTTCAATCAAACCCTGAACTAGCACTCAAACGGTAAATTGTAAAAGAAAGTGAAAATCCACCAAAATCCACTTTCCAATTTAACCAAACTGGAAATCGATAAGATTAAAAGAACTACCCATTTAGGTTTATTATAAGAAAACAAGAGCGATTCTTACCTATGAACTTCAATTAAGGTTTTAGCGGGTAGCTGATTTTGTGTACATGCAGTGGCCAGATAAAGCTGTTGTCCTGCTGGCTTATGGGATCAAACTAAAAGACTGCACTGCATGACAACGAGGTTTGGTTTAATCACAAAAGTTGCTATTAATACCACGTGATCACTAACGGTAGTGTCAAATGTCACTTAAAGTGACAGAAAATATAAATACCCAAAATCTGGGAATAATCCGTAATTATCACGATTGATACAACGTGATGAGCACCAGTAAAAGTTGCGAATAGAATGGCGGGTGAGTAAATCTGATGACAAGTAGCCTCCAAGGTAGTACTGTATTGTGTAGCCTACTTCCTTTAACAGCGGAGCCGCGAGGGATTTATTTCAATTTGATTTGGTCCCAATCTAACCAGCTGCGCAGTTTAAGCGGTGTTCAGAGATCTAGAAAACTGATTGAAAAAAAAAAAAAAAAAGGAAAAAACACCCATGGTTGTTAAGGAGAGATACGATTTTCCAATGATCTTGTTTTTGCGACTTCTTTACTATCTGATCATGAGAGCACGCACAGGCGAAATCAAACAAGCGAAGTGGTTATCAGAATCGTTTTGTTTACCTTGAGGAGAAAGGTGAGATCAACATGCACCTTGTGGTTCATATTCCTGTGGGAATTGATTAAGCAGAACAGCAGAATTTGGAAGGGAAAATGATCAATTAGACCACTTTAAATTAAAATGTTAATTTCGCATCCATCAAGGTGTTGGTGTTATCTCAATCTGTTCATGGCTTTGTTGCAAAGAAATATTGCATGTCGTAAAACTCGTTCCCAGGGTTCTCTCCTTGACTGGTTTCTATGTATGGATTGATGTTGTGTCAATAGACCAACTTCGATTCATTGCTGAGCCTTAAGATGATTTCTTTTGTTTTATTCCCCCAAACCTTGGCGACAAGTCTTTATTTTAATATATCGAAATTGGTCTGTCAGACATTCACCCTTAACGCACCTCGGTACCCCCTCCCCCCAACCCAAAAGAAAAAAAAATCATAACCATTGGTTCGATTTCTCTTGGAACGAGTGTAATAAATTGGAAACAAAGGTTAATTTAAATGTTTTGGGGGGAAACAAGGGACATTATAGTCTATGTGAAAATGGTGAATCAACATTTGCCTTCATTGTTTAGCAATGCTACGTTGAAAATATATCCCCCCCACCTACCTACAATGAGGGACAAAAGTGTTGACACGCTTCCGTAAAATGGTCCCTTTTTGCATAGTGGATATACTTATCCCCTTCCCCTGTCTACCCCAACTCCTTCCCTCCAAAATCAATGCTGAATTTTGGACCCTCAAGTCTTTTTTTTACTTCAGACAACGTTGATTCGGGGGTGAGGGAATTTACGGCGTTTAAAAAGAATGAAATAATAAATGAATGAAATGTTTGTTAAAAGCACCCATTTTTATACAAGTGTGTCAACTACTTTTGTTCCTGATTGTAGCTTATCAGTTTTCTTGTGTTCCTGCCAGATGAGCTAGTGTGTGTCGAGGACCTATATATAAAGACAGTTATTATTTCCCGGTCAGCGAGAGAGAACTTTTCCATTAAAAATTTGAATCTGATATCAGCCTTGGAGACCTCAGTGGGGAGAGCCATAATGGAAGACGGGACATCGATTAACGAAGTTTAGAAAAGATGGAGGAGCTCTGGCGATTTAGGCCCTGTTTATATGAAGAAAAGTTGTCCCGGAAAGAGAGTCACCTTCCCAACCGAGTCAAGTTAAGCGAACGTTTATATGAGAAAAAGGTTGACCTCTTTGCCCGAGCTAACAGCGCTCGCGCATGCTCTGCCGATTCAGGGCGGATAAAGGGTTATATACCCGCCCTACTCTGATTGTCTAAAACAGCATCAACGCATGCTCTGATTGTCTCACTGGCACCTTGACCGAGTTGACCTGGCCGGGCAAGCCAAAGTGTTTATGTGGAGAAAAGTTGGCGCGGCTACTGAGGAGGGTGACTGTAGTGTATTGATTACCATAGTATAACGACTATGCACGATTACTACAATCAGTGAAACTACATGTACTGAGTGGCATTTAAGTAATTCAGCACGAATGTAAAAGTACTGATACTAAGTGAAAGTAGATTACGATTTTTACCAGGAAAAAAAATACTTGTTCAGTTAATAAAAGACATTATATAGACAGCGCGGCCGCGTCATGTTATAGTAGAGTGCGGTTCCGGTACATAAATGGCCGGGTGAAGAATTGTAATCGCTATACCTGGTTCGGAATTATTATGTCGGCGTTTCACAGTACTTTTTGTGTCTCGAAAAGCTTTTTTCCTAGTAAAAATTCTAATATCTTGATTTCAATACCCTGGTCATCTCTTCACGTAGCTTGTTCTCTCTCAAGCGGAGGAAAATTTTCAAGAAAACTGACCTCTACTGAGACCAGTCAGAGTAGTTTTTCAAATGTTTTTGCAGTTTTCATCGACCTAAAAAGGGCTCAGTTAGGTTAACTGAGACTGAAATGCTTACGCCATGGCGAAAGCAAAAAAGGCACCAGGAACTTTAACAAAGCAAAAGTGTAACTTACTTATTTACTAGCTTGGTTCTTCAAAAGCTACGCCACTGCTGATATATCCTTAAACTAAAATTATGTGCCAAATTTCATGACCAAAAGAAGCAAATCACTGAGGTTTGCTGTACTTACACGAATGGTAACATCTGTATTCACACAATAATAGGAAATATCGTTAATGGGGCATATTTAAATCCAAAAAACAAAAATTTAAAAACGAAGAGTGCTATTATAACTTAAGACATATTAGTATTGTACTCTTTGCTTAACAACAACAAAAAGAACAAATTATAAATAGTAGAAAAGCTTTTACGTAAATCAGGAAGAGATTGCTCTACAAGAATAAATGGTAAAATGCTTATAAATCAACACAGCAATGACATAACGTTAATGGGGTTCATTAATAGAGTTCAATTTGTGTGCTATGAAGGAAGGAAAAGCTTACAGCCCAATCAAGTGAAAGGTTTCGCCATTGATCTTGAGGAAAAACTTTTAAACTCGAACGATTGTAATCATCACAATGGCTAAAACACTTGCATCTTTTTTCAGTTATGATCTGAAAAGATAAACATCAAAAATTGTCAGGGATTGATGGATCTCTTTTGTCTTACACGCTCATCATTTATGCTGCATCTCGTTAACAAATTCGAGGAGAGGTTGGACCAACCTTGGAGAGGTTGGTCGAGGAAAGGCTGGTCAATTGTTCGTGATTTTTGGAACAAAACATGCAAGGCAAAAAATGCGAATAAATTTTTTTCCTTAAAATATTATTTACTTTCTCGTTGTAGCACTGACAGGCACACTATTTAAACCGAAATGTAAAGGCTCTACCTTGACAAGTAAATAAAAAGAATATACATTTGTATAAGCTTTCTCTATAATTAAAACGAAATAAAATCTTCCCCCTAAAAGACTGTAGCCTGCGAGCAGGGGTCACCTGAGCGCGTTCGGGGAAAAATTCGGCGGCGGAGCCGATAGCGCGAGCCGGCGAGAAGGAGCTAGCCTGCGTAGCAAGCGTTTCCGATCGACGTACTGGGCGATAGTTGGAGGAAGCAGAAAATAAAATGCACACGCATTAACTTTCTCGACGGACTCGCGTGGAAAAGCTCGCTACGTAGGCTAAAGAGGAACTCCCACAAGACGTGCTTAGACTGATAAAACAGCCAACCCATTATTCGCCTAGACGGATGGTCCTTCGTGGGTTTTTCATCAGCCTGTATTTACTTTGCTTAGATCAGCGACTACTTTTTAGTAGGTTACTAATAATACTAGTAGTAATAGCGGCAACGGGAACGAGTTTGACGTCACCATTTTAACGTCAAATGAAAATAACGCAAGCAGCTTAACTGAGAACGAGGCACATTACCAACAAAGGGAAAACGGCCGAAATTCTCGATTTTTAATCCACACGCACACACAGGCTACCCAATAGGAAGCCTAATAGGCCATTTGTACTATGGAGTCATTTTACTACTACCACCAGAATCCTTCAGGGTTTTATTTTCTTTGCAAATTTGGGCTTTTGTTTTAAAAAAACCTCGCTGGGATTTCCAAATTTAAATATGAAAGAAAGAACGAAATGAATTTTGGTCTTAGTAAATAAAACACGTCATCGTGCAAACGGCCTATCAGGAAGCGGCCTAGTGGTTGCATCGACAGCGATACCACTTGTACGGAAATTTCCAAGAAAAATTTCCCACAAATGGTACTGGTATTGTTTTTCACACAGAAAACAGGAATGGGATTGACTTAAACCATTTAAAAAATAGCGGAAAATTCTTCAATTTCTCTCGAGAGGAAGCATGGCACTGAAAATCGGTACAAATGGTGCAGAAAATTTCAGTCGTTTCTGAAAAGGCGGGAAAAAGGTAATACCTTTAATACCTCGGAAGGTATTACCTTTTATCCGAAAAATTTCCACCGGGATGAACCGTTCCGTTTGAATTTTCAGCGGAATTATCGAGTTTTCTGTGCAAATGGTAAGCGTTTTTAGTGAATTAGACGCGGGTCGTTTCCGAGACGAGACTGGGCACTAGACCTCTCGTCGTCAAACTTTTAAGATCTTTTAACTATAAAACATGAACATCATGTTTTTGTCCTCGTTCGTATACTGGCTTCCAGTTTAGTTCAAACAATCTAAACGCTCGAAGTAATGCAGCGAGCTGAGCGATAAAGCTGTTCGTGATATCCATAAGTGGTTGTAAAAGATTTTTCGTCCCTGCCAAAACGTTCCGCGTAAATATAAATATCGGCTGAATAATGCTGTTAAAAAGAACTGCTAAGTAAGGTTTTAGGAAGTGATCTCCGAACGTGATTAAAATTCCTCCAAGCACACGAAGAGCAATGTAGTGCAAAACGAACCGTAAAAGCTCTAGAACGAAGATAAAAGCGAAGTCAGTGATGATCCGAAGTGCGCTGAAAAATTCCTGCCAGAAATACTGAAGCCATTTTTCAGATCTGCAAAACAATTAACATTAAACAAAGATAAAAAAATATATAGCGAAAAGGATGTCAACAGAAAGGAACTGAATACCCTTGATGAGTCAATCCCCTTACAAACTATCTATGAATAAGAATAACAGACTGTGTAAAAAATATTTACAACATTGCACTAATAAAAATGTTCCGGTCTAACTGTAATAACAATCTCGATTATACAATAAAAAACAAAGATACACCGGACACCAAAAAAGGCTATTTGAATAAACTGTTATCTGAAAGTAAGTATTGACTGCTCAAGAAGTTTTACTTTCCTGAGAAATTAAACAAAAACATTCTTTCTCGGCTATATCACAAATCACTAACTTCTTTACAGTGTAATGACTGATTCCTCTATAGAATAGTTTATTTTCTTTTATAAAATCTCAACGTTTGCTTTCTACACGTATGTCGAAAAAAGCTATATTTTTTGGGGGGGGGGAGGGGGGGGGGGGGGGGCAGAGGGGTGCATTATGGAAATGCCACAGTTAAAAAGACTGTCTAAAAATAATACTAATTGTTTCTTGCTTCAAAAGGCTTACTCGCCTATTTTTTATTCATAATGGTGGAAGTTACTATACAACCCCAGCTTACATGTAAAAACGCGCAGTCAGCAGACCAATGAACCCCCGTTATGGGGGTTTTGTTAGGCTTGTCTCCGCCGCCCCCTTGGTCCTCCATAAGGGGCCGGTCATTATTTATTGAGGGGGGGGGAAGGAGGGAGGGAATGATTTGGGGCTAAACAAGGTGAAATTTAGCCGATCCCCCCTTTGAATGTTACTTTACTGAAGTGATCCCCTCTAATAACTTTTGATGACTTTCGCGATCCCCTTTCCCCTCTGAATCCTTCCAAAGTTTTCAGCAATCCCCTCTATTGGGTTCTCAGTTACGACTGATCCCCCCTTTTGTTCTCCCAAAAATCAAGTGACCCCCCCAACAGGTGATAAATAATGTCTGGTCCCTAATGTCCTCCTTAGTCTGCTCCGGGGAGAACTGCAGGCTCATTTCCCCAACAGCGGCTAGTAATGAAGTACTTTCCATATTATACTGAGATTCTCTAGAAATAGAATTAACATTACTATTGCCATTTGTACCAGTCATTAAGTGTTTATTGTCTTACCTGTCTGCAATTCTCTTCATGTATGCTTCTTTCCACTCTGGGCTCACATCCAAATGGTGATTGTGACCATGATCAAAATGATATGAAAACCTATAGAATAACGTATTCATGTGTAAATGCCATGTTTGGGGTGACAGTTTTTACAATTCGTATTGTTTTTAACCTCCTGTAAGCAACCACTTGACTGTGTTACAGAACTGTCTTGGACAGCTGATGGAAAGTGAAAAGTTGGGTGTCCTAGGACAACTTGGTGCAGGACGGTAGAAAAGGACAGAGCATAGGTGGGATGGAGGTCATGGGATCAAGCAAGAGCTTCTGCAAAGGATAGGCAGGTTGGTGGAGAAGTGTGGAAGCCTTATGCCTAATGGAGTGTAAAGAGGCAGAGTAGGTACATGTAGGTAGGCAAGCAACCACTTGACATAAAGTGTAATGGTCTAAGCTTGTTGTACTTTTACAAACAAGTTCCTGTTTTATTTTTCTTTACCTTCTTAAAAGCAAAGAAAACTTCGAAGCACAACATTCTACACATAATACTTACCCAGTGACATGTGTTCCAGGATTCAAAGGTACACAGCAAGTTTTTAAACCATCTTCTTGCAGGTCATGGCTGTTAGGGATTACTTCATTTGCCAGATTATTTGGTTCAAGATCCTTCTTTAGTGTTTTAGAATTCTTCTCACGAGGTGTTAAGTGCTGTCTGCTGTGAGTAATGGCCTCCTGTTCTCCATCGCTTTCAGAATCCCAAGAGTGGCCTTCATTATGTGCTTCTTTCTGGGTTACGTAAGATGACTTAACTTTTTCCTTTTTGGGTTTTTCGGTCTGCATATTGATGAGATTTAATGAGTCTTGGCTGGCAAGAGCAGCTGTTAGGAGAAAAAAAACGCAAAGTAAAAAGAAGAGTATGGTGCATTTTACATTGGATATTATGCAAATTCCCCAGAATTCATCAGTACTCAAAACCTTTCCTCTTGATTATTTATTGATATTGTTAGGAATTGATCATTACTGTTCACTCTTGGAACTTTTAAAGGTTAGAACCTGAACACAAGGAATCAAATACAAGTAGATCAAAGATAAACAATTTTCAAGTCGTCAACATATTTCAAGATATGTTTGAAATCCAATTTTGAAACAAATGGAGAGAAAAGTACAGGTCAGCGTGCAAAGAAAGTAGTGTCCGATAGCCCGGGGCTAGTGGATTTTGCTATATATCGGGCTAGTGATTTCTATTCTTAACTTGCCCGATGGGCAAATGAAGTTTTTTTGGGGGAATTCAAATTACAGAAGAACTGTAACCAATGCTCATCAAAATTTTTTTCGGGTTAGTTGAAATGACTTTTGGGCTAGTACATGCTAGCTACAGCTTGCCTGAAAGAGCTGACTTTCTTTGCACCCTGACAGGTCTGGGGATAATAGAGAAATGGTCTTACAGCTGTACATGTACGTCAGGAAAAAATTCTGAGCATCCCCTGAACAAGAGCCGAGCCTACGATTTTCCATTATTATACACTGTAAAACTGAATGGAGGTTCTAACTGCTAAGGAATACAGATGCATGGCGATAAGGCCATACAATACCATGATCATGGATATGCAAATTAGTAAATGGTGTCAAACAAATGTACAACCTTTCACTATAAAGTTATAAACATGTACCTTCCTTACTAAATGTACATGCAGCCGTTAAAAAGGTTACATGCAAGCACAGTGATTTATTGACAAGCTTAAGCTTACCTTGAAAATCAGTGAAAGGTGGATTGCGTTGATGATGATCTACTTCATTCATTTCAATTTTGATCCCATCATCTTCTCTTCGTTGACTGCTCTGTTTAATTTTATTTTCATTTACATCAGGTTTAAGCTCTTTGTTTTGTCGGCTCTCCAAGCCCTGATCGCTGAATGAAGTTGTATTAATACCACTACTTCTATCAACAAAGGTAGTAATCCCTGGTTTGCCATACATTTGACTGGGCATTTGAGAAGAAGGAGTCCCTGGTTTACCCCTAGCTGGACTCACTGGAGAATTTGTTGCAGATTTTCTCTCTGCTGCTGTTACTGCTACCTGTGTCTTAACTTGTGGTCTCTTGTGAGGTACCTGAACTTTAGGGGACCCTGGAGGAGGGGCTGGCTGGTGTCTAGGAGTGGCTTCAGGACTTGATGTAGGTTCTTGGATGTCCCCTGGGAGACTGTCCCAGTCAGAGTCGCTTTCAGGTTCTGCAGTCTTTTTTTGCTGAAACTAAAGGTAAAACAAACCGCATTATGCATTAAACAACATTACTACAAACTTTAGCAAAGTTCCAGGGAGGAGAAAGTGACTTTTTCTCTTGCAGAAAACATTTTCAGGTTTAAGGTTTCAATTTTCAGGGTTCGAGCTCTTCAATTTCCACGACTTTCCAGGACTTTTTCCATGACCTTTTCAAGCTTTCCAAGACCTTAGGTTTAGCTGTCAGTTTCAAAAATTCAAGAAATTTCCTTGTTTTAGAGTATTTTTTGACCTTAAGGTGGCTGAACACAGTTTTGCGTGCGGTCAGCAGTAACTCCACGCGTGACGGAGAGTGTTTTAACTTAGACAAACAAACATGGCGGCGAAAAAGCAATGGTAAACAGAAGGCGATCTCTCAAAATCTACCCATTAAAATTTTGTGATATTTGGAGGAATTTTTACTTTTATCGTATCTTAGATAATGAGAACTTTAAAATGGAAGTTGAAGAGACGATTCTTGTGACACAATTAATAATTACAGTACAATAATATATTACTGATTATCTAAAAACCCCTATGTTAAAATTAATTGGTCAAATAAGTTTCAAATGGTAATGATAGTAAGCTATGTGCAAGTTTATAGGAAAATCTAATGAGTGAATTTTCTGTAAACTGAGCAAAAGTGAAATTTTAAGGTTGTATTCAATCGTTCATATTGCCACGGAAACTACGGAAATGTCAAATTTTACCTGTCAGTCAAAATCTTTCATCAGTATATTTTTCACTTGCCAAGTTTCAGCTTGTGAGCTGCAACCCTTCTCTTGCCATGATTTGGCAAATGAAATATACTCACAAACTGCCAAAACTGTGTTCAGCCACCTTAAACAGTTCAACAGACACAAACTCTGGCATCCACCAAAAATGTGTGCTGTTTGCACTGTCTACATGTATTATTACTCCTCTCTATCTTACATTGTCGTTACCTTGTCATCTGCGGTAACTTATCTATCAAACAAAACTTAAATTTTCCATGACTTTCAAGGACCGACAATTAAATTCCATGACTTTCCAGGCCTAGAAAATGAAATTCTTAAATTCCATGACTTTCTAGGTTTTTTATGACCTGTATGAAACCTGATTATGCATTAAGTGAAAAAGATAACCTACTGCTGCATCTGTGTTAAACTGAACTGGCTAACAGTGCAATGTGTAGACTCATTGGAAATATGACGATCTATGCACAAAAGCGAGGCGTTTCAATAGCAACGGTTGCTAAGGGTCATTTTTCCCTTCCTTCTGCTCTGATAGAAAGTGTGTTGTTTACTTTTTCTTGAAGCAATTCTCCCTAAGATCTCTCAAGGAAGACCCTTTTGAGAACAAAATTTATTTAAAGGATCTTTTCTTAAACTTTACAATGTAGGCTGGTGTGATATCTAGGTCAATGCATCGTCACCATTCAGTTTAAGCCGCCCTTGTTATGCCTGTTTTTTCCTTACGTAGAAAGGGTCAGCAACACAAAATCGTTATTGATTCATACGTTAAAATTACATGCAATACATTTGCTGAAACCAATAATCAGGTCCGGCAAAAGTAAAGTCTGAAGCTCGAGTCAGAGTCGCTTTCAGGTTCTGCAGTCTTTTTTTGCTGAAACTAAAGGTAAAACAAACCGCATTATGCATTAAACAACATTACTACAAACTTTAGCAAAGTTCCAGGGAGGAGAAAGTGACTTTTTCTCTTGCAGAAAACATTTTCAGGTTTAAGGTTTCAATTTTCAGGGTTCGAGCTCTTCAATTTCCACGACTTTCCAGGACTTTTTCCATGACCTTTTCAAGCTTTCCAAGACCTTAGGTTTAGCTGTCAGTTTCAAAAATTCAAGAAATTTCCTTGTTTTAGAGTATTTTTTGACCTTAAGGTGGCTGAACACAGTTTTGCGTGCGGTCAGCAGTAACTCGCGTGACGGAGAGTGTTTTAACTTAGACAAACAAACATGGCGGCGAAAAAGCAATGGTAAACAGAAGGCGATCTCTCAAAATCTACCCATTAAAATTTTGTGATATTTGGAGGAATTTTTACTTTTATCGTATCTTAGATAATGAGAACTTTAAAATGGAAGTTGAAGAGACGATTCTTGTGACACAATTAATAATTACAGTACAATAATATATTACTGATTATCTAAAAACCCCTATGTTAAAATTAATTGGTCAAATAAGTTTCAAATGGTAATGATAGTAAGCTATGTGCAAGTTTATAGGAAAATCTAATGAGTGAATTTTCTGTAAACTGAGCAAAAGTGAAATTTTAAGGTTGTATTCAATCGTTCATATTGCCACGGAAACTACGGAAATGTCAAATTTTACCTGTCAGTCAAAATCTTTCATCAGTATATTTTTCACTTGCCAAGTTTCAGCTTGTGAGCTGCAACCCTTCTCTTGCCATGATTTGGCAAATGAAATATACTCACAAACTGCCAAAACTGTGTTCAGCCACCTTAAACAGTTCAACAGACACAAACTCTGGCATCCACCAAAAATGTGTGCTGTTTGCACTGTCTACATGTATTATTACTCCTCTCTATCTTACATTGTCGTTACCTTGTCATCTGCGGTAACTTATCTATCAAACAAAACTTAAATTTTCCATGACTTTCAAGGACCGACAATTAAATTCCACGACTTTCCAGGCCTAGAAAATGAAATTCTTAAATTCCATGACTTTCTAGGTTTTTTATGACCTGTATGAAACCTGATTATGCATTAAGTGAAAAAGATAACCTACTGCTGCATCTGTGTTAAACTGAACTGGCTAACAGTGCAATGTGTAGACTCATTGGAAATATGACGATCTATGCACAAAAGCGAGGCGTTTCAATAGCAACGGTTGCTAAGGGTCATTTTTCCCTTCCTTCTGCTCTGATAGAAAGTGTGTTGTTTACTTTTTCTTGAAGCAATTCTCCCTAAGATCTCTCAAGGAAGACCCTTTTGAGAACAAAATTTATTTAAAGGATCTTTTCTTAAACTTTACAATGTAGGCTGGTGTGATATCTAGGTCAATGCATCGTCACCACTCAGTTTAAGCCGCCCTTGTTATGCCTGTTTTTTCCTTATGTAGAAAGGGTCAGCAACACAAAATCGTTATTGATTCATACGTTAAAATTACATGCAATACATTTGCAGAACCCAATAATCAGGTCCGGCAAAAGTAAAGTCTGAAGCTCGAGTCATTCTCAAGTTAGTGCTGGGAAGGCAGTAAATATATTGTTTCCAAGAAATTCACACGAAATCGTCTTCTAACTTCACCACTTAGTTATCATTATACGGAAATGCTGCATTTGTTGGCCTCATAACCACTAATACCCACAAGCTGTACTTATTGTCAGCCTGAAATTTTAGCAAAGCTAAGTTTGAAAAATTAAACCACTTTTATAAAAAAAAATTAATAACAACACAAAGCCACCTGTCTGTCTAAATTTTGAGCATGATATTTCGACACCTACCATACTTGAGAATTATTCCTGTGCTTTTCCAAAAGAACGAGATGTAAAATCGTGACTAGGTGACTTGAACAAAGGCCGAAATAGTCAATCAACACAACGCAATCAACCAAGTACGCAGCTCCATTCCAAACAAATCATGCAGTTCATTGATCACAACAAATTCTTTCATCGAAGGTCACTCCTGCTAGGTTGTATACATGGTGTGCTCGTACATATAAAAGAGAAACAGTAAATACAATAATGAGTTGGTAATGAGAAGTGAAAATTCAGTAAACTTTCCAAATCTAAAGACCACCAGTGTTTTAACTCGCAGCCTCGAAAGATATTTGGCAACGACACTTTCGCAGAGGCTTCTGGTTATTTCGTTTCCGAAAAGACTGGGTTCTAATTCGTCTCCGCGCGAATTTCTGCTGATGAAAACAGCATCAAGTTGTAAATTTCCTTGTTGTGAGGATTTGTGGTAGATTTATGGCTTGATCTTTCTTTTGACCAGCCGTGGATTTGTAGTGTATCATCGACAGGCCTTTAAGTACTTATTTTACGTGGAATCACCCTGATTTAACTCGAGTTGCCGGCAAACTCCGATCGATCGTTGAGCTGGATGACATGTTCTCTGTTTGCTTGTATCTGTTTACGGATATGAGATGAAGTATCCAAGTAAACCAAGCTTACATGGCGACCTTAAAGCTTAAACATGGCTGTGGTTTATGAGTCATACGCAAATACAGAAACCTTGATGTAGCAGTTGTTGCACATTTTATGCGAAAACTAAATCTGACATGCAAGCTAGGAAAAACTGGAAAGATGAAGTGCAGCTGCTTAACAGAAGTGTAGGGATCATTTAACAAGCGCTGGGAAGATTGAAGGAAAATTGAAGCAAATTCATTATATTATCGTGTCTTGCTTGATTGAACTTTAACTGTTTCTGCCTGGGGTTACTAAGGAAACAACATGGATAGCACAAATAGGCAAGTGTTAGAGCTAAATAATAGTATTAACCCTTTAAGCTCTAATATCAACATAGAAATTCTCCAGGATGATCTTCCAACATTTTCTAAATGATTAGTTGAAAGAATTTGATAAAAGATCAAAGCATTTTTCTTTGATCATTTGATAATTTCTCGTAACTTTTTCTCTAGATGATGAATACATGTATTAAAGTGTTTTTAGGAGAAAATTGATGTTGATCACTCGTGGGACTTGAAGGGTTAAGAGACTGAGCGGAGTCTATAATCTTGCAAGTGATAGAACAAAGCAGCTGGATACTGTGTAGGGTTTACGGTTACTCCGTTTCAAAGTCAGATCGTGCCATAATGTGGTCAGATCATACTGCAGTATTGTAAAATTAATTTCATTCTAATATCCAAGAAACTACCTTATAATTATCTCGACATTCATGCTACCGTGTTGGCCAGTGCCGTGTATCAAGGGTAAATTCAGCAGTAGCCACACTTCTACCATAAATTTTCACAATTTTGTGACCATGCAAAGCCAGGCTTTGAACACAAAAACTTCATTTATTGAGATTAATTGGCATTGATCATGAAACCTCACCATTGGATTTTTATTGACACTAACTTGTGATGACACGCACTGAACATGAAAGCTCAAATACCTTAACTTTCACAGAGCACAAAAACTTGATTAACCTTGCATTGAGCTTGGCACATTGTTTACATTACATGAACAACTTTCAACTGGAACATCCTTCTACTCAAGTAAGAATTTCTTCTAAGCTTTAATTATGTGGAATGATTTTACTCTAATTATAATTGTGGAATGATCGGACTAATTTGTGGAACAATATGACCATGGAACAAAGTTTAATACTAGGTACTCTGTGTGGAGGTAATTCTGGCTTGTTCAATCACAAGTTTGATTACAGAGCTCAACAGCCCCCAAATATCTAACCTTTAGTCAGTGATAGTTTACCGGTAATTGATGTGTTTAATCACAGGGCAAGATTGTTTCTGCTAGATACAGGGTCAAAAAAAGTTAAACCATTGAGACATGTTTGTAACTGTCTCATTATAGTGCTGGTCATGATACATGCTTTTGAATGGCCTAGACTGTGTGTAATATCACCATGTTTCCATGGTAACTGTACTATCAGAGTCCTATCAGTAAGCACAGTAGCTTGCAAGTTCTCAAATTAAGACCGTTTTTTTCTGCTTGCAAGCTACTCTTCTATATGCCATTAAACTATTGTTGTGATTGTGTAGTAGATTATAACCTAGAGACTAAGGACAACACCAACAAGAACCCATGCTAACGATACTCTGGCTCAGTCTGAGTTACAAGTACTACATGTAATAGAAAAATTGCATGGAACTGAAGATACCTTGATGGTATCAATGGTGCATGGCCATTTAAGAGGCCCTGCCAGGGGAAATTCCAACAAGTGACATGGCCCAATAAGTAGCGATAGCCCGTAAAATGAAATCGCAACAAGAGACAACCTCCCTCGGCCAAATTGCCACAGTGACGGCAAAGCCGTCAATAAGCGACAATTTTATAACCCTGACAAGAGACGTTTTAAAATTCAGACGGGTAACATCATTAAACTCAAATCCAGAGGCTCTCTACAAGGACATATGGTACATGTCTCTTTAGAACCAATCAGGGGAAGCAACTACTGTACTGGTTAGCACCAGAGGACCTAACTCTACTAACCCTGTGTGGGCCAGCATATTTCATCACAGTGTTGGTGGATCTGAAAAATAATAGTAAACAAAAATCTAATCTAAATGAATGTTAAACTTTGTTTTTCATCCATACATGCTCTTTACATATATTTTACTTGGTATTGCAGGACTTTGATGGAAAAGATGAAAAAGAGAAGAGCTGCAATGGAGGTAACATTGGATGGATGTTTCCATTTTAGTTAGTTTTGTTTATTTGTATCCCAACGAAGTTGGTTGAGTACCTGACTTTAGACCAGTAGGCCTAGGTTTGTTTCCAGCCTGGACCAAATCTTAGAGTTCTAATGTACAAGTCATGAATTGTACATTCAAACTTTAATTTTGATTCAACATTTCTACTTGTGTGTGAAGCAACTACATACATGTACAATGTAGTCAGATGCAGGACGAAACAAGCAATACGGTAAGCTGTGAATGATTCAAAGGGATGTGTGTTATTAGTACAGTGAAACCTCTATTAAGTGGACCCCCAATTAAGCGGACACCCTCTACTAAGTGGACACTAATCAGGGTCCTGAATTTAACGTCTTATATTTCCCTTTATAATGAACCCTTATTCATCCGACACCTCCTATTAAGTGGACGTGGACACTAAAACAAATTGTATTTGGCTAATTTCTATTGTTAAAAACCTCTATTAAGCGGACACCAGACTGAATTGACAAAGGTAGTATTGGATTTTGTCCTTGAAATACATACTGTAGTTGATTAATAAAGATAAATCAATACATTTAGCTGTTAAAATTAATTTTCACCTCAAAGTCTTGCACAAAGTACAGCATGGCTTTCTTTCTTCAATTTTGAACTTTATCACAGTACAGAGTAACCATTGAGTGTTAATTGTTAACAAACATTGCGCAAATTTTACAACCTCTATTAAGCAAACACCCTCTATTAAGTGGACACTTGGGAAGGTCCCTAAAGTGTCTGCTTAATGGAGATTTCACTGTATCATCATTCAGCCAATCAAACCCTTTAATAGTGAATGATGGAATCCTTTAACTTAGTAAGGTGATTCTTACTTTTGATTCTTGATTCTGTGAAGGAAATCCTGTGGTGTTACCAATCAAATGAAACCTCTTTGTCAGTACTTCCACATAGCATTATTAGTATTATATTTTTGAACATTTACAAAGATTAATTAAATAAAGAATTTTGATTTCGGCCAATCTTGGAAAACTGGAAAGGGTGAAGCTAGTTTATCTGGATATTACCGTAAAAACTCGTGTATAAGCCGCACTCGTGTATAAGCCGCACCCCCAACTTTCAAGCATGATTTTGCAAAAAAAAAACCAAAAATGCGCTTTTGTAAAAAAGGTGATCGTTTGTTCGCGCATCAAAATGTTCACACATAAACTTGAGGAAATTTAATGTTGTGTATTTGCAGTGACATTTTAAATAAGTTAATCAACTCTGAAAATACCTTTTAAAAGGTTCTCTTTAATCAATTTCCCCATTTCCTGCGAAAGACAACAGTTCTCTTCATTGCTAAAGCCCACAGTTGAAATGAATCAATTTTCGCGCAAAAAAACAGGACCACGTAAAAGCCGGAAACATTCGGCTTAGTTAGGTAACTTAGCAACGCTTTACAGATGCACTCTTCTTTGACTGGCTAGAAAACATTATAGAAAGCCTGGGCCGAATCACACAGTAGACCGCGATCAGTAAACAACATGGGGCGCTTTCCATTCGACCAAAAATTCCGGAATGAAATTTCGAGTATTCCATGTGACGAATGGAACAGTATTTTCCGGTTGGTTTGAACCAAGCCGTCCCAGTCCATCACGTACCAATTTTCGCGCGAAAATACGAAATAAACAGGGGAATCAAAAAATGGCGGACTCTTTGTCTATTTTACTTGCTTTAGAGTTGCTCGACGACTATGAAGTTGAAATAAGCGAAGTATTGGACGAGGACGACGACACAACGCTGTTCAGTGTTATTATCCGTTTCACTTAGCTCGGAAACAGTACATTCACTGTTATAATTATAGGCATAATGTATCGGTCAAATCGAAGCTTCAACATGCCCCCCCCGGGCATACCCCGGGCATTTGACACCTTTGCCGTCCCGGGGAGGAGGGAATTTGATGATCAGAGTCTTCCAGGGGGTGGGGAATTTGATCCCCATGCTTTAGGGGTGGGGAATTTGAACTGCACCCTCGATTTCATGTAAAATCTTTGGCGTGGTGAGCTATCATGGGGGACGCGGTGTTAGAGGATTTTCGTGGAAAAGATTGTGCCTTTGTGGCCAATTAGTTACGAGGAAAGGGATTAAGCAAGCTTTGTGCCGTATTTGAAGTATTTAAATTTTAAAATTTTTAATTGGATTCAGGCTTTGAATGTATGAATGTATTTTATTGTTGTGTTTACATTGAAATACAATACCTATACTGGCGATTCAATACAACAACATAAAATAAAATAAAATAAAATAAAAAGTTCAGGTCAACTACTTTGACCTTCTGCAAGTATGTTAATTAATAAGGTGAGCGATGATGCATGTCAGTGAAATGGTCATGATGTAGTAATCTCAATAGGTGGAATCTTTTTTTATAGAACACTTTGTATGTTGCATGACGAAGAAAAGCTGAGCATTCAGTGACCTTGAAGCAGCGATTTCCGCCGCTTTGCACAAGACTTTTGTTCGTAGTAAATACGCTAACAGTGTTTCTCAGTTTTTGTTATATTTATAAAGATTTTGTTCGACAACTGAAGGCGTTTCCGCCGTTCTTCTGTCATTTTTGTGCCTGTGAAATGTCCCCAGGGTGGGGGCATTTGATCACCTGAATGGACCCTAGTGTGGGGCATTTGAATGGCATTTTGGCCCGGGTAGGGGGGAATTTGAACAATAATTTTCAAAAAAGTCAAATGCCCGGGGGGTTGCCCGGGGGGGCATGTTGAAGCTTCGATTTGACCGATACATAAAGAATGCGAAAAGAAAACGTTGACGCTACAAAATACATGCATTCACTCCTAACCCAGTAATGGCGAGAATATTTGCCTTGCAATAGAAAGTGTGCTCGTCACTTATCACATTAATTTAAGACATTGCGCGTAGCTTATATGCATTTTCGCGCTACTTACGAAAGTTTGCCGTGGCTCCGGTGCAAAAGTGGTGCAAAAGAACATTCAAGTCATCTGTCGCATAATAACAAGCGGAACACTGATATTGAGCAGAAGAATTGGAAGCCATGTTGAGTTCGATTTCTGGGCTCTGAGAAACTGGGCGCGAGCAGGAATGGTCGAATGGAACGGAATTTTCCGGTTATTCCGATTTTCCGGAATTTTAGGCCAACCTCGCTAGGTACACCCAAAATTTCGGAATGAAATTCCGGAAAATGTCTGTTCCATTCGCTCCCAAACCCGGAATTTCCGGAATTTTTGGTCGAATGGAAAGCGCCCATGGAAACGTTCACTTTCGCATCAGCTGTGCGTGGATATCATGTTTATAAAGACGTATGGAAACCATCGATCGGGGAAAAGCTTGTTGCTAAACGAGAGTTTAACAACCCAATGGACAAACACGCCGTGAAAGTAGTGAAGGACGACGAAACGGTCGGCCATTTGCCTTGCGAATTCTCTCGAATAGCGTGGTATTTTCTTGCACGTAGTGGGGAAATCAGCGTTGAAGTGATCGGTCGCAGACGACACTGTAAGCAGCTGTGCGGAGGAATGGAGATTCCCTGCCAGTTAGAGTTTAACTGCTCAAACAAAGCGCAGATGAAACGCTTAAGAGAAAGCAATGATCAACGATAGGTTTCAATATGTTTAATCTTTATTTACTGAAGGTTTTCAGTTCAATTTGTGACCCCTACAAGCCAGTTTACTCCCTTTGAGACCAATGGTCTCGTGTATAAGCCGCACCCGCGATTTTTGACTTAAAATTTCGGCAAAAAGGTGCGGCTTATACACGAGTTTTTACGGTAGTTCATTCAATGCAGCGTATTAAATGCTTGTTTTTAAAGCTTAGGTGTTTCCACTTGTTAGCAGTACTTTTCATCTTCTCTGTCATTAAATTGCACTTTACTTTTTCTCTTACTTTAAAACAGGCCACAATAATGTCTGATGCAGGTTCTTACAAATCTGATGCAGAGGATACCATGCATAGTACATCCACACCAATACGCGACATGGTTGGCATTTAGTTTGTAACATTATTTTACCTAAACCCTACTTCATATAACTGATAATTATGATGCGAAAGGAGAAAAACCAGAACCTTTGTTTCTTTTTTGCATTATATACAGAATAGCGTAATCACGATGTTTCGATTCATGTACCTAGTGAAAACATTGCTTCATCATTAGGTGAAAACGTTTTCCTTAAAAAATCAAAAACAAAAACAAAAACATTAAAAGAGAAAAACAAATCTTCACAGATTATTTGTTTACTCAATATGATCTTTAATATTGGTATTTAATGTAATAATTATTGTTAGAGACAAGAGGAGCCTGTGATCCTAATATCCAGGCTGCTATTATGCGCCCATGCACAACTTGTATTTAGCCAGCTTTGTCAGAATGAATGGAATGCACAGAACGCAATCTGATCATGGGCATTTTTACCTTCTATCACTCGTATTCTCTTTTCATACACAGGGTTGTCACTAAGATTTTAAGTTGCCGGGTAAATACAACAAGTAGGCGGGGAATCAAATGGCTAGGGATTTGTTTTGGTTCTATTTTTCTACTATTTTCCAATAAAAGTAGCCGGAGGCCACTCTCTTAGTAGCCGAGGAAAATCCCCGGCCCCCGGCTCTTAATGACAACCCTGCATGCATGTTTTGTCTTTGACCATCTATCACATCAAACGTATGCAAAGCACAGCATTTGAGCAAGACCTTTGATCGCTGTCGCCTGCATTCCGTACATCCTTTGGTTATTACTAGTTGATATTTTCATTATTCGAACATGTGGTAGGAGGATAATTTTTCTTCTGACATTATTTTTTGTCTTTACATGATACATGCAAGTTGTTCTTGTTGCTTTTGATAGTTTTGAACAATTTGATATAATGAACTTCTATAGATAGACATTTAGATTTACATTTTATTTATTATTATTATGAGTATTATTATTTATGCATTTATTTTTAAATAATACTATTACATGTAAATGTGATTATCTCTGTTTATACAGAGGAACCCTGCCTTACGACCACCCCATATATATCACCACCTCATTAAAAATAAAAATCACTGAGTCATTTTATTATTTTGAACACCCGGTTAATGTGACTACCTTGTTGTTACAACTAGGGGTCAATTTAATAAAAATTTTACAAGTGCATTCTGCAAGAGTGCCATTGTTTAAGAGTCTGAAAACAATAACTACACTGTCTTGTTAATCTGCAATATTTATTGTAAAAGTTTTATTAAATTGACTTCAGGATTTTATGGCCCAATGGTGGTCACAGATGGGGTTCCACTGTAATAATATCGTCTTCATAATAAAATGTCTATTGTGTTGAACTGATGATTCATGTATTTTCCTATTTCTATTGCCCTTTAGTCTTCAAGGCCAGACAATGGGACAGAAATTCAGAGAACGAGTCCTGCAGGTGACACTACTGTGGAAGTAAGTATAAAGCCATAATTATGTGATCATTACTCTAACATTACCTGAAGAAAATGCAATCAAGACTGAATAAAATTGCGTTTTAAAAATGAGGCATAGGGCCTGGGCTGGTCTCAGTTCTATCAGCAGCACTTTTCTTCACATGTTATTGCTTTGTACTCTCAGGGCATGAAATGATTGTTTAGTCAAACCCATTTTTGCTCGGGCATAACCCGTTTTGGCCAGACAAACATCTGTTAAGTCATATATCTATGAATCGGATGACTATAGATTTTGTTAACCATTTGCAGGATTACAGATCAAAATGGACTCCACTAAGGCCATGTTTATGTATGAAGAAAAGTTGTCCCAGAAAAGAGGGTCACCCTCTCAGCTGAGTCAACTTTAGTGAATGTTTATATTATGAGAAAAAAGTTAACCCCTTTGCCCGAGCCAACCTTTGCTGCCACATGCTCCGTTTGCTTAAAACAGTGCTTGCACATGTCATTTTACTACGTTGACCTGTCTGGGCGATCCAAAGTGTTCATATGGAGAAAAGTTGGCCTGGCTAGGAGGGTTATCTTGCTATTGAAAAGAGGGTTACCCCATAGGGCGTGTCACCCTTCTAGCTGGCCAGCTTTTTGTTTCTGATGTAAACGGTTGCCCAAAATGTTGGCTCGCTCAGGTTAGGTCGAGTAGGCGAGTGATGCTCCCGCTGACTTTTCAGCCGAGAACAAGTTTTCTCCACATAAACTGGGCATTTATGAATTAAAATAGGGTTACATAGAAATGCAGTGAGTTGAAACAACATTCGCCAGAAATTTTGTCCTGACTTCGTAGACAAACTTTCTTAGCCAGAGGAGAATATTCAAAATTGAATGAACTGTTTATATAAATTGAAAATTCCAAACCTGAGTGTCGCTGCCATTTCGTGATAAACTGTTGTGCTTCTTCGCCCATTCATCCTAAACTCACTCCAGGATCGGTTGACTTCTTTCTTCCTCATAGCAGCAATGCCTCGCCCAGAATTGCTCTGGCTTGTTCTCTTCAACCACGAAAACGTTTCAAAATAAGCTAAAATAGCCATCTGAAGTTTCAGTTTAAATAACTTAAAAAATTGCTATGTAATAAAACACGTTGACTTGGAATCAATGAACGTTGCTGTTTCTAGGATGACCACAAACAAGCTCGAAATGCGACTTCGTAACACCAGCATAATTAAAAAGCCTGTAGCCTTGTGAATACTTTTGATTTCCCCATGGAATGTTGAAAAACAATAGAAGGTGTGGAATCATTGCCAATGTGAGGGTGGATTCATTTGCCATATTCGCGTAAAAGCGTCGCATTTGCCCATTGGACTTTTTTATTGTTTTTTGAGCTTAAAAACAATAAAAAATGCCAGCGAGCAAATACGATGGTTATGAGCGTATGCTGCGAATGAATGCACCCTAAAAATTTACCGTTTCTCGGCCTTCAGCTCTAGGAATATACAGTTGAACCTCCATGTGCGACCACCTCTCGTTTAAAGAGACCACCTCCCATAAGGCTAACCGGTCAAGTCGCCTGAAAGTTAGCTTGCGCCACAGACAAGTCAAGTCGTGGATTAATTACGTCTGCGACGAAACGGAAGGCTACTCCAAAGTCATCTCGCCCGAAATTTTTGGTCAAGTCGCCCAAAATTTTATGAAAAGAAACAAGCGGGATAATTGTGTAATAAAGTCTCGTTTTTTAAGCAATGATGCTATGATGAAACGAAACAAGCACAATAAGGATGTTAGGATAGTGTTGAGCAAGATAAATATGAAGAATTTCAAAATAAAATCCTGAACAGGCTGAAAACCGATTCAGAGCTAAAACCATTGTGACGTCATTGTCACGTGACATTTATTCCGATTGCCCAAAAAATGATACCACAATAAAGTTTAGTCTAATTGTAATCCATTTGTCATAATGGTTTTGGCAATAAAGATCGATTTATTTACGCATAAGAGATTCAAAGATTGAGGGTGTGCCTATTATAATACTGGGTCGAGCCACCTTAACTGAGGCTGACGTCGAACTTTTCATGAAGTCTTAACTAAGTTTAGTTCGTGTCATGAAAAGTTCGACATTTGGCCTAACTCTTGGCCTTTTTGGTGGCCGCTTACGGGAGGTCCCACTGTATCACATATTCTCTTTCTTCAGGCCGATAACCCTCACTTTTAATACAACTTTATGTAATTATTTGTTTTCCTACAGTCACTTATCCTTTCTACTCTTTACTTTTGTACTTAACAGTCTTTACAAGACTTGGAGGAGGATGGTGACATGTTGCAGGACCTTCAGACCAGAAGACAGCAACGGAGAGAGGAGGTATACCGGAAAATTTCGAAAATAAGCCCCTCTATGTAAAAACCCATCCAAATGTAAGTCCCCCAAACCGGTAACGCAAAAAACCCTCCGTTAAATCGCCCCTCCAAATATAAGCCCCCCAGGGGCTTGTACTTGGAAAATTTCCCTCAAATACAAAGTAAAACAAAGCAAAAACGGTAATTTTACTTCCAACTATAAGGATAGCCCAATCGATTTTGAAACGCAAAGTTCCCTCCGTAGATAAACCCCTCCGAATATAAGCCCTTCAAAAACGGCCTTTGAAAAATACAAGCTCCCGGGCTTATTTTCAGAATTTTACGGTATGTTCGTATTGTGAGTCACGGTGGCATTTCCTCCGATACACCCAGGCAGGGTGCTAAGAAAGTAGTTTTACAGCTTGTCATTCAGGCAAGCGGCTTAAGCATGTGCAAGCCCAAAAGTCATTCAAACTAGCCCGAAAAAAACAATTTTGATGAGCAATTCAAATAGTAATAATTAAAAATATAGTTTTTCTATAATTTGAACTCCCAAGAAACTTCCCTTGCCTGTCGGGCAAATTAAGAACAGAGTTCACTAGCCAGATAGCAAACTCCACTAGCCCTGGGCTATGAGACACGACTTTCTTTCGCACTCTGTACACCTTGTATAGTGCATTGGTGATGTTTTTAGCTGACAATCTGTTGATATTAGAAATATCAAAAATGAAATTGAAATAGATGAATGAATAAACAAAAGTCAATACAAAAGCCTAAGGATACTAGCCAGGATACAAGGACTTGTTTATTTTATCACTTCCTTCTCAATCGATCCTCAGTGCTTCTCTAATTCTATTACTTTGATTCGATTTCCATTCCATTGATGGTGTTTTAGTGTGAGGTTTATATTGCAACAAAAAACAAACAAATAAACAAACAGACAGACAGACAAACAAACAATCATAAACAAGCACAGAAAAAGAAAACTTAAAACTTCATCAACACTGGGCAGATAGCTTCTTGATATTTTAATATTAGTTTATGTTCACCTAGCATGTCTAAACTCTACTCGGCGAGCAGAATTGACGTTTGAGCATTGTGAAAGTCGTGGAAATAGTTTTTTTTCTCAATTTGCTGTAATGGTTTGCTGCATGACAGTTCCTACAACGGTTGAGTTTTCACCAAAAAACAAGCCGCCTACAAATTTCATGACAAAACGGTTGTTGAAAGACGCCAAATTTTGGCATTCTAGGGCTGATCGATGTGCTCGCAGTTTAAGGTTTTTTAGACTCATGCGTAAATTTTTAAATGGTTCAGCAAAAAAGTCCAAAGCTATCTTCAGTGTTTTCCTTATCAAGCTGTAACCAGTAGAATTTACCGCCTGAAACAACACTCCTTACCACCCACAACCGCTTGAAGGTTTACTAAAATCGAAACTAGCAGTAACCGTTGGCCAGGAAATGCGGGCGAAGATGTGGTTTATCACGGAAAACCGCTTTCATAATTGTATAAGTTCTTAAAATGAAGGATTGACGTTTGAGAAAACTTAGTTCCCACGTTTCCCAGCGACGGCGAGACCATGTCCCTCACTCCACTACCTCCCTCCCTCTCCAGGAAAGTGCGCCTCTGGCGCATATTTTTAGCCTTACTTGCCATGAATGGTTTAGAGAAAACACTGTATCTTAATGGATACTCTTGTTACAAGCGGAACGACCTATCTACGGCCGCCTTGATAAACCCGTTCCTAATGGCCGCTTACGCGAGGATCATTCCCGTAAGCCGTGAGCTCCAGTAACGAACACTTTTCTGCTTCCCGGGGAGATTCGATCGAAAAAGAGAGCTTCAGCTGTAGTACAGTCAACTCTCTCTTAACAGACACTTCTGTAAGGCGGACGCCTCGCTAAAACAGACACAGAGTTGGTCCCTGCCTTTGTTTGCTCCTTTTCGTTGACCCTCTATAAGACGAACACTTTGGTAAAACAGACACCTAGAGTTGGTCCCTGCCTTTGTTTACTTCTTTTAGTTGACCTTCTATAAATCTATAAGACGAATACCTTGGTAAAACAGACACAGAGAGTTGGTCCCTGTCTTTGTTTACTCCTTTTAGTTGACCCTCTATAATACGAACACGTGGGTAAAACTGACACCTAGAGTTGGTCCCTGCCTTTGTTTACTCCTTTTAGTTAACCCTCTATAATACGAACACGTGGGTAAAACTGACACCTAGAGTTGGTCCCTGCCTTTGTTTACTCCTTTTAGTTAACCCTCTATAATACGAACACGTGGGTAAAACTGACACCTAGAGTTAGTCCCTGCCTTTGTTTACTCCTTTTAGTTAACCCTCTATAATACGAACACGTGGGTAAAACTGACACCTAGAGTTGGTCCCTGCCTTCCTTTACTCCTTTTAGTTAACCCTCTATAATACGAACACGTGGGTAAAACTGACACCTAGAGTTGGTCCCTGCCTTCCTTTACTCCTTTTAGTTGACCCTCTATAATACGAACACGTGGGTAAAACTGACACCTAGAGTTGGTCCCTGCCTTCCTTTACTCCTTTTAGTTAACCCTCTATAATACGAACACGTGGGTAAAACTGACACCTAGAGTTGGTCCCTGCCTTCCTTTACTCCTTTTCGTTGACCCTCTATAATACGAACACGTGGGTAAAACTGACACCTAGAGTTGGTCCCTGCCTTCCTTTACTCCTTTTCGTTGACCCTCTATAATACGAACACGTGGGTAAAACTGACACCTAGAGTTGGTCCCTGCCTTCCTTTACTCCTTTTCGTTGACCCTCTATAATACGAACACGTGGGTAAAACTGACACCTAGAGTTGGTCCCTGCCTTCCTTTACTCCTTTTCGTTGACCCTCTATAATACGAACACGTGGGTAAAACTGACACCTAGAGTTGGTCCCTGCCTTCCTTTACTCCTTTTAGTTAACCCTCTATAATACGAACACGTGGGTAAAACTGACACCTAGAGTTGGTCCCTGCCTTCCTTTACTCCTTTTCGTTGACCCTCTATAATACGAACACGTGGGTAAAACTGACACCTAGAGTTGGTCCCTGCCTTCCTTTACTCCTTTTCGTTGACCCTCTATAATACGAACACGTGGGTAAAACTGACACCTAGAGTTGGTCCCTGCCTTCCTTTACTCCTTTTCGTTGACCCTCTATAATACGAACACGTGGGTAAAACTGACACCTAGAGTTGGTCCCTGCCTTCCTTTACTCCTTTTAGTTAACCCTCTATAATACGAACACGTGGGTAAAACTGACACCTAGAGTTGGTCCCTGCCTTCCTTTACTCCTTTTAGTTAACCCTCTATAAGACGGACATCTCTCTAAGACGGACACATAGTACCGGTCCCAAAGATGTCCGTCTTAGAGAGAGTTGTTGTATATCTTTCTTTTCAGTTATCGTCCACTTTAGGTGAATCACCAGCTGGTGGAGCATGGGGTGACGGCAGGACAAGCATGGAGACTTTATCACCTGCAGGTGTTTAAATAGCGCAACTTTAGAGGGGCTATTTCACGGCTGTCTAGTTCATTGGGTGGTAACCTGCCTAATTGGCGGTTTTGTTCGGCGCGCCATTAAACAAACGTAGTGAGCGGCGGGCAGGAGCGGTGAAGCCGGGAACCGCTCACTAAGCTTGTTTGCGTGCTTGCCGGACAAAACCGCTAGCTACGCAGACTCTCTGAATTGGGTTGATTTTACCATTAAATCTCTTTTAGGCATGTTAGGCGAACAAGCTTTCAAAATCGCAATTGCAATCCGTTTTAATCTTGTTCAAGTTTGCCCGTCCGTACCTTCTTTTGTATTTGCTGTGTCATTTATACGTTTTCTTAATGTACATGTTTAAGTTACTCAATTTGGTGTCAGCTCTCATTGTTAGAGTTGGTAAAGCTCCTTTAAATACCTTTCATCGTTTTTTTTAAAGACTGTTCAGACCTGACAAGTATAGTTATCATAGACTGAAAAACAGTCGTTTTTTTTTCTCAAAATCAGTAAAGAAACCGGTAAAGCGTGGCGTGAGAGTCTTACGCGCGCAAAGCGCTCGAGCCTGGGTAGGGCGTGGGCGTATTTTTAGCGTCTCTTCCCCGTCTCGCTCTCTGTTTTCAGCCTCGTTCCAGACCTTTTGCTTGACTACTCGCGCGTACTTGAACACGCAAAGATACGGACTGTTTTGTAGTCTATAGTTATCATGACATAGCGTTTGTTTCAAAGTAGAGTTAGGGATAATATCTCCATTAACAAAGGTTTCCTGTCTCAATTATTTCCATAGGCCCCTCCCGACTTGGGCAGCCAGGCCCAAGACTCCAACAGATGATGGATTCTGGAGATCTAAATGCATCGTCTGCAGGGGGAAGCACGAGTCTCAATGCTTCTATAAGGGAAAGGCTACGCAGTAAAGTGCGAGGACGCCAGGTAATTGTAGCATGCATAGTTAACATGTACAGGGTTCGACTTTTTGGGGGTCAATAGTAGAGAGCTTTAGATGTCAGGGTACGAGTAAGTTCTTGCGCGTGTTCTCAAAAAAGACACCCCGGAAAGCTTCATTTTACTTTATTTCACCAAAAAAAGTTAGTGCGGTTGTTTATACTGAAGGAGGTTAAGCCCTCTCCCGATCGCAAAGTGATAAAACTTCTCACATTTGATAACTTGTTTCCGCCACTACGACATTCTCGCCAAATCCCGTTTTTGAGTGACGACGGCTATCACGTTTTCCCGCCAAAATGACGCTGTCTCACGTGCGCTCAATACTCAGTATTGAGAAAATCTCGTACTCGTAGTCGTCTTCGTCCTCGAATCTAAAGCTCTCTTATATCGCCACTTTAGAAACAGGAAGGAAACGGGGACGAGTTACCTTTCGCAAAGAATTCTGGTAACGTTACAAGGGACATGGAAAAAATTAGCCAATAGCAGACCGGCGCGTCCCCAGTAACCATCCCAGAAACAATTGTGGGACACATTTCGGCACCAGTTCCCTTATTTTTTCTTAAGTGGCGGTTTGAAGATATAGACAGCTTTGTGAAATGAAGAAACCCCAGCAGAAACGTTTAAAATGTAAGCCCAATGTAGTGTATATGAGCTGACACGCGTGCCACTAAATCGTAGCCAACAGTTACCAGCGCCGTACAAACGACTTATTGACGAGATCAAGCAAAACTAACTACGAGAGAACGACTGGAGAACTGACAATTTGACTAACAATAGACGACTGTTTAACTGTGACAATAGACGGATCGAAACGCACCAATTACTGATTACGAGTCTTCATAGCCAATAACATCACGGCTTAACTGACAGACGACCAATAACATCGCGACGTAATTGACCAATCAGATCAAAAACCAGAGTAAAACACCATCAACTGACGTGATACAACTCACTTTGACTCTGAAGATGACTACCACACAGGTTGTCGAAACGTCATTCACTGTCAACAACAACAGTCCTATTCAGGACTACGTTCACTCAGACGATCAAACTCAACCTACTTTTGAAATGACTCCTGGGTTCAAACCTTTCACAAAACTAGGTAAGGTAAGAAAACGATAAGGCTAATATGGTTTACACGAACTGATGCACAGACGATTCGTTAAACGACAAATCTTACACCATACGAACACACCAAAGGTGTAGAAGCATCCTGAGTTTAGGACTAATATGGTACACACAATCTAATGTTGAGATAAACGCCAAGATGACAAGTCTTATAATGTGCAACTATTGAAATGTTCGGGGAAATCAGTTCTATGACTATGGCCGGACATACGTACAAACGGACTGGCGTACGGGAAAAATGTATACGAAACTGTTAACGTGCCGGGAAGAAGACATGGACAAGAAGACAAAGCTTATTCTTTCGGAAAAAAAAAAAGGCCCTTGGGAAAGGGGTACAAGTGTAGTGTTAAGTTTGCTTTCTGTCCTACCCTTAAAAGTGCACGAGGACGGTCCACCAACATTTCCTGTTGACCTAACTTGGAATCTAGCTTACTAGTAGTGTGAAGGCCGATACCAGCTAATTAAGGAATTTAGTCAATTACTGAACAGACTTTTCTTTAGTTACGTACTTGTCTCTTTGGAACCACTGTATAAAAAAAATCCTTGCTTTCGCAAAGTATTCATACCATTCTCCATGAATGCTTAGGTCTTGAAAATGTCTTCCCTGTTTCAAAAGGTTATGCAGAAGCCTTTCATTGATGAGTAAAAATCTATGCCCTCCACAGTCATACATTACCATGAAGTCTATATATGATAGTTTCTCTAGCTAGTGTGCAGCGTAGTAGGATACAATGCAATGCAATACTTTTGGCTCAAAAAACGTTGTTATTATTTTGTTACAGCCAGTTTCCAGAACTGGAGAAGAAGAGGTAAGCAAACGTTCCGTTAAGTCAAAAAATTTGTTTTTATCATCTTCCCGAGTTGCGGGGATTTCTGCAGTTACCAAAGGTACCAGATTTGTTCGTGAAAGTACAGAGTGATGTCCACTTCTTCTGCCGGAAAATTTTTTACATGAAACTCACAGAAATGCTAGCGCTGTTTCTAGCCTTTACGACACTAGACTGGAAAACAGTTCCTTACATGATTATATTCCATTTAAAGACGTTATAATCTTGCAAACATAAGGCATCATTGTACTTTTACCACCGGACACGAGATAATAAATAACATGTCAAAACGCCCGGCCCCTGGCCTCAATTGAAACCGTGGCAGTTAATCAATTAAAAGCTGCTGTCTTGAACTTTGGTCCTTCCGCAGAGGGGGACCCAGGCTAGCGCTTGTCAAGTCACCCTTTGAGTGCTTTAATCCTTCTTCTCCAAGAGTTAACGATGGAGTCTTTGTGGTTCTTCTGTGTCTGTGGACCACATCATTTAGTATGACCATTCAAACGAAACCCTTTGCGAGTAGTTTTACAATGCTTGGTTCGGTTTTTAGCATACTACAAATCAAATTTGGAAAATTGGAAAATTTGTGTATTTCTGTTTTGGCCACTCGTGGGAGTGAAAGTGTTAAGGTGGTTAACTGACTTTGTTTTCAAACTCTCCCCCGCCCCCCCCTACCCCAACTGATGCCATAACACTATTTCGTAGTAACAAAATTTAACCCCTTCATTTTCCTTCGTCTCCATTTCATAAACTCCGTGTTTCTAAAGAACTCAAGTTGTAATGTATTTTTACCATCATTCAAGAGATTGTAAGAATTTAATTGTATTTCCAGGCCACTCCGGAGAGGAGACTTCGCGGTCTTCGCGACAGATCCTTGCCAACAAGATTTGATGACGCTGGGGTGAGCTGATTAATGTATAAATATAACATTTCAGTAACTATCTAATGACAGGCAGTCCTCTATTCAAGACGGCCACAAAATCTTTCTCGGGAAATTGTTAAATAAAACGTTTCAAGATTCTGGTAACCTCGAAATTGCTCATGATTACTCCAGGACGGGGTTGCCAGTTTTTTTTTTCTTATGTCTTTCTACATGATCGTTTGTGTGGTTGAGATGTAATGCCATCACTTGTGCTTCAATAACCCTCACAATCCCCACACAGGCAGCTAAACGTTAGAGGACAGTCAGTTTAAAATATGGCATTACGACAACGCAGTAAATTCATTCAGCGTTGTTGCTTGCTCTTTAAAACCGATTATTTTTTTTTTTATGTTGATATGGCCATGACCGTCATGACATCTTAAAAACTTCCTAATGCCTACGATGAGTGTCACTGTATGAAAGTATCACGTGTTCCCATTGCATTTTGAGTCAATGTACATGTATGAATGTGACCCTAACAACAGTACATACATGAGAGCAATCAATCGATTGGTTCAGCAAATGAATATTTCTGAATGCCAGAGACTGGGGCTTTGCATGCCTATTTGTGTAGTTTTTCTTCACTACCCTAAAATATGAATATGCGTGCATTGTGTGTACCGAACTTACCCCTGTATGAATTTGGCAGGGTAGTTAATGAACAGGCAATGTCTAATTAATCGCAAACCACTCCGGTGTCCCCGTTAGTTTTCAAACCCTCAGTAGGTTATTAACTATCTTCAGCTGCTTCGTGACGTGCCAGAAGAAGATGATGCAGAAGATGCAGAATTGCAAGCCAGCATAGCAGGTGCAAATAAATGGAGAAAGATGGTTGCCCTTACAAGACAACGGGCTGCAGAGGTGATACCGTAATTATGTACAATAAACCCTACTTAATGCATCTGTAATGAGTGAAGATTACCGTAAGAAACTAAGTTAGTGCTCGGCAAACTTTAATACTATGTCATCCAGAAATGAAGCATATTAACGGACAAAAAGGGTAAAGATAGCGTAGGATGATGATATTTATTTTTCTCCGAGTTGCTGCAATTATCAACCCCTTTCTGGCCAAAAAGGCTCGGCCTTCGTAAGTCATCAGACGAGTATGGTGTTCAGTTTCTCTTGGGATGACTGTAATACCCAGGACAAATTAGAAACAAAGGCTATGCTAAATGTTAGGTTGGGGGGGCTGGACAAACGGGGTGTATTACCGTAAAATTCCGAAAATAAGTCCCTCCATGTATAAGCCCCTCCAAATATAAGCCCCTCAGACTCGTAACGCAAAAAACCCTCCGTTAAATCGCTCCTCCAAATATAAGCCCCCCGGGGGCTTGTACTTGGAAATTGCGCTCAAATACAAAGTAAAACAAAGCAAAAACGGTAAATTTCCCTCCGTAGATAAGCCCCTCCGAATATAAGCCCCTCCAAAAATACGCCCCTCCTAAAGGGCCTTTGAAAAATATAAGCCCCGGGGCTTTCGGAATTTTACGGAATGAGAAATGCTCAAGGGGTGGATAAATTGACAAGGCTTTCGTTTGGGCTATGTCCTTATTTGAAAAAACGTCGATTTAGATTTGTGCACAATAATAATATATACTCAACACGTTTAAATAGAAAGTAATTCCGTCTGTACAAAATTCATAGGGTATTCCTACAGAGGAAGAAGCTTATAATTTTTTTGTCGGCAAAGAGGCTAAGGTTGAAGAAAAGAAAGAAACCGGAGACAATGAAGAGGAAGTTGAGGTATATTTATTTATAGTTGGTCTTTCGCTTGTAACGTTTTGGAGAAGATTTTGAAAATAAATTGAATGGCCCCAGGTTAGCACATACTATCTCGTGAACTAGTCAACGTTAATTTAATTCACGTTTTTGGCATTCTGTTCAGAAGTCATTCAACATCGTTCCCAGGCTCCTCCATTTTCTTTCCTCGAGAGCACCCTGGTAACGACGTTGAAAGTCATCATCAAACTGATAGGCTGTTTCCGGCTCAGTCACTGAGTACAAAAACACTGTGCTGGCGGGCAAACAACGCGGTAGGACCTTGCAAAGAAAGGAAAAATAGCTTTTAAGTGATGTAATCTCTCTGTCGTTTTTGCCCTTCTGTTTAATGCTCTCTAGCAAGATGTTATGCCTCATTTGACGTTTTGGCTGCAAAGGCCTCTCAGATTTTCCACATGTTATGCCCCGATGTAATCTCTTGCACTCTTTTTTTGCCCATCTGCGTCTCATGCTCTTCAAAAAGGTGTTTTCGTCTCATCTGACTGTTTAGCCGCACAGGGCCCATTGAAAGCGACCAGTGAGATGAAATCGGGCCACCCATATTTCTAAATATATTACCTCGTTCACCAACTGATCACGAAGCTACTTTGTTTAGGGGCTGTTTAGTTAAACTCGATTTTTAATTATTTTTTTTAAATTTAAATTGTTGTTAATTCAGAAAGTGCAAGTCATAGCTTAAGTCTGCCTATCATTCTTCAGTCACACATTTCAATTGTTTAACTTGTTTTTACTAAGAAGGGTTTGAGCGTTTAAGCAGAGGCTTTTGCTACCGTCACCAACAGCGCATTCCTGGGCTACACCCATTCTGACCGTAGTCGCGCTTAACCTTATTGCAGAAATGTTTGTTTGTTTCCTAGGAGCCCACGGAACCACTGCTAAGAGAAAACGAGCTCTTGACATTCTGGGGTAAACCTCCTTATCAACCTTTAGCAAAACAACAAGAACATGAAGCCAAACTGTACAAAATCCCCAGTATGAAAACTAGTAAGTCTCAGTCTCTCTGTAATTGAAAATAAGGTGTTCCCTTTTATCTGATGCCCGACCACTTCTTTGTCTTGTACATTCAAAATGGCGACTTTCTAGTTGGGGAAAGAAAAAGAAGACGGCGAGAAATTCCCGGGGGGACTCCCATATAAAACAGACGGGGATGCTCGTCGTCTCGCTTAGGGGTGTAAATTTTGGATTTTGGTCTCGCTTAGGGTGTTCCGGGCAAAGCGCTAATATTTTAAGCTGCCAAGGTCTCGTTTTGGGTTCCGCGAAGAACTTGAGATTTATGACAATGCTTTTAAAAACTACTTTTAGATAAAAGCATTCGATGATTATGTCTTTACATCATTATAACTCATTGCATGTCGTATTTGTGTGTTTTTAAGCGGTCTCTTTTAGGGGTCAAAATTTGCTTAAGCCACGCCCAGATTGGTCTCCTTTAGGGGTCACAAGAAGCTTGAGCCACGCCCAGATGGTCTCCTTTAGGGGTTAAATTCAAAATTTCCGACGAGCATCCCCGTCTGTTTCATATGGGAGTCCCCCCCCCGGGGAGAAATTATTTGCCGGCCTGATAGATTTTCTGCCTCTCGGAAAGGCAAAGATGTCACTTGTCTTGTCTACAGGACGGAACGGAAAACAAAAGACGAACAAAACAAACAAACAAACAGCTTCAAAAGAAGTTGAACAATAAACGTCTTTTTTCGAAAGATGTTCAGTTATTCGTTATGTCTTCCTGTGCGGAACGACGCAAAAACTCCACAAGCATTAGTAAAATTGAATTCGTTCTTTGTGGTGACAAATGCTCTTCTTAGAGCTTCGTATTACATGTTAGGTGCATTCGACTTGATAAGGCTAGGAAATACGGGATAATGCGCCTTCTCTAGCTGACAGTCGGTTATGATGTTTAAGTTAACTGCGTCCTCTTGTGAACGTCCTCAGCGATGCTCTTTTTATAATTGATTTTTTTTTCAGTTCCATTAGACGAGAAAGTCCCAGATGGCATGCAACCTCGTTTCTGGGAAGAAGAAGGTTTCTATGTTGGTAAACCCCCGCAAGTTTCACCTTCAAATTTGAACATCATGGAAAATAGGATTATGGACGCAAACGAGGTTTGTGGTTTTGTTGTTGTTGTCAACAATTATAAAGAGATCAGAGGAAATAGTACGCTCACTCAATGTCTTTCCATATGGTTCATCCAATTCTCTTATTTCATGTCCAGTTGCGCATCAGTTGCGTATGCAATATTGTGTATGGAGTTGTTTAGATTGCCAGCAGTCTCTTATTTTTCTTTTGAATCACAGCAGATCGAGGGCACGCCCGATGGGCTAGCGGGAAGCCGCGAGGAACGAGCGCGGAAGCCCGATCGAAGAACACCCATCTCTCCTCCTTTTCATCCCTAATTCGCATAATTTTACTTTCTCGCTCGCCGCGCGTGGCTCTGAAGAAAGGAAGACGACCGCTCACGGTCTATCATCCAAGTGTCGAAGAAGTCCCTGCTATCTTTTTGTAAGCTAGCGACATTGTAGACACTGCTAGACCGTGTGTTCTAAGATAAGGTGTCCTATGATTCGTTTCATTTTCTATCCTCAGGGAACTCATTGGTTCGGTGAGGATGGCCAGCTAAAAAGACTATCATCTCCATTGAAGGAAAAACCAACGCGCCCTCCAATTATTAATTTAGAGGAGCTAGACCCCTTGCTTCAAACCGAATGGGTCAAGGTACGTGAGAGTTTTGATCCGCTTTTAGTAAATTTGGATCGGATATTTGTCTTGTGTGCCACAGATCATTTTTAATCTGTATATGTAATACTGAAATGAAAATTTGTGGGAGGTTACTGATACTGGAGAAGAAAAACGCTGTATTGTCCCGAAAGACCTGGACAAACGTTTTTCTGACCTTAAAAAGTGTAAAAAGAAGTTCGATATGTTTAGTGCATGAAATGTTGCTAATCATGGAACTGACATCTTTCCCGGCTTAATGTCCAATCGGACTCTATTTGAACAACTGCGTGACTTTACTTTCTCCCCTTTTAAATGAGAATGAGGATGAGAATGGAGTTCATTTACAGTGGAATTGGAGTGCTTACCATTTGTTTGGAAATTTCGGTAAAAAATTCGGACAAATCATCTTGTCAATAGCAATTCTGGTTCAAGTCAGTGACCAACGGTGCGCGGGATTGTTTTTTCAAAAGCTGTCATAGCCTGTTCACAGACCCTTTATTATAAAAATATTCTCTTTAGGGATCGCATATGAAAACCTAAACCGCGGGTGATTTATTGTCCTTTAGCTCAAGGGGATGGGGGTGGCAAAAAAAAAAGAAAAGAAAAGAAAAGAAAAGAAAATATCGCTCCTTAATGTCTCACAATCGCATGACTATTTGTCATAAGACTGCTTTACATGGCACAACCATGTCTTATGCCACGTGCTTACGATAATCGTACAGGTGTCTTACGATTGTTGTAGGCTTGATTTGGCTACGGACTGGACCAGTTCGGGAGTATGCCAGTTTTGGAAGAAGCGATGACGTCATGATTCCATTGTTCTGCTAAAAACACGCAAAAATAGGAAAAAATAATCGCAAGAAACAAGGGAGCTTTTTTCAAAGCCTGTTCCACTTCTCCTCGTTTAATATCCGGGACGTCCGAGCTAGCAGTACCGGTGAAGAAGCCTTCTCCTTGCTTTTTGAATGTCAAGGGAACTTTCCTGCCACATTTCGGTAGTTAAAAGCGACAGTTTTCCAATGGCCTTCGACGCCGCCGCCGCCATCTTGACGGGTATCGAATGTAAGTACATGACTTTATGTTTAGTTTTCAGTATCTTGCCGAATTTTTACGAAGTCAAGACTAATTTTCCTCAAAACTACAACGTTTAAAGTGTGTTCAGGCAAAGTTTCATCGATGGCAACAACCTAGTAAAAATGGCAACCACACATTGAAAATTGCCAACGGACAGGAAGGGTTACTGATATTGATGGTTATGCCTTAGTCTGTCTATGTAGTTTCAGTTATAATCGATCAGGTCTGTTTTTGGTCGTGTTCACCGGCAATTTATGCGACTCTCATCTAGAAATCACTTTATTGATCCAGATCATGTGTGTGGAATTAGTTTTAAATCAGTGTGAGTAGGTTCTTACATTGATTTCTTTTATTTTGATCAGGATTTCCGTCAAAAATGTAGACAAACATGTGGAGATATTACAAACATGTTGTCGCGTTTGTGCCAAAAAGCTGGGAAAAGGAACCAGGAAGACAAAATGCTAAATATCGTCAGAACGACATATTTGTGCTCTGAGGGCAAAATATTGCTTTAGGTTCGCCTTATGTTCCACTGTAATGAAAAATTTAATGTCCAAATTCAACCCTACCTCAATAGAATTAACTATGTTTTTTTGTTTCTTTGTAGTGTGGTCACAGGCTTACCCACCACAAAAGCCCCTCCTTTGACCCTTTCAAAAATGGGTAAGAGGGAAACAGGTTGGAGGGGGGGCTTATATACCTTGTGAGTGGAAGCTCACACTCAATGACCATTCAACCATAGAAGAGACTGTGGCCCTTATTCAAGGGGCTTTAAAGGAGATAGATGAGGAAGGAGTCATGGAAGTGGAGGCTTGTGAAGATTTTCTCTACATAATGTTCAATCCCTTGCGTCAAATATTGTTTATACTTTACAGATGCCAAATACATAATACGTTCAGTCCCTGTGCTGCGCAAAAGGTCAATCTGAAACATCAAAAATGCCACACTCTCCCCCATCAATCCCTGTACATGAGCAATAAGCCCACATTTGATGTCATAATATCGAATATGTGTGTATTTGAATAAATCCTAAATTATTGAGATTCTCTTGATGAAAAAGCATCTATGTTAATGCATCGTCTTCTACGAATCATCCTCCCTAATAAATAATACATGAGAGGCATCTCACAAGATAACTATTGAAAATCGATGTCAGCTGCTACTGTCTTCATTATATCAATTAAGTTTTGGTTTTTTGTTTTCATGTCCAAGAAGGTGTTAAAAAAACAAGATTTTGAGATAAAAGAGTGTGTATAATATGCGAGCCAGGTAGCCATGGCAGCGGGTCATGCAGGTCAGAATCAAAAACAGTAATACGGAAAGAATTAACTGTCAGGACCTAAAATAAAATGTTTATTTACAAAAAACAAAATATAGCAATAAATAACTTTTATTGTATCTTTACTCTGATGTGTGAGCTTTGTTTTCTTGAAAGTGCTGTTCAATAGAAACATGAAGAACCGGCTATGAAAAAGAACTTTGGAAAACTTATGTTGTGTCCATGCCAAGTGCAGTAATCATTATTATTTTGGGTCAAACCTTGTCTAATAGAATTGTTTGAGGGTCCCCACAGAGAAGACTTGGAGAAAAGTGCTCCTTAAAGTTACAAGGCCTTTGGTTTAAAGGCAATCCCAGAGTTAAAAACAATAATTTAGTATTATTCGGATGTAACATCAAATCCCATACAAGAGGATATTTTATAACAAACAATAACCTTGTTGATCTCTGACCTCTGGTCAAATCCGGTGGACTACAAGACTATAGTATCCCATTTTAATCAATAGATCCAAAAGCATGTAACAAGCATAATTCTTAGTTTTCCAATATGTATATTAAATTCTTAAGAGCCTCTTGCATTTGTTAAGCTTGACCAAATAATCAGTTAACTTCAGAAAGTGGAATAATTGAAAGCAATAGGTTTTTTTGAAGCGGAACAAAAAAAAAAATGATCAGGGATGATAAGATTTTCACTTTGTGGGTTTTCAAGAAGAAAACGCGGGCACAATACCCTCAGAAATCCCTTGTAAACCTGTTGTATACCTGGACGGAACTGCTTCAAGACATAAACCAACAGAACATCATATTCGAAAAAACAGATATTTTACTCACAAATGACTCGCTTGCACCAAAACAATAACCTGAATTACAGCCGTCTTCTCCGGCCAGTCGCTCACTCGCAGGAGAGAAACAGATGCAACGGGAAAAATTACAATGAATTATAGAACAACTCACTTTTTAGTTGTTTCCAAAGCATTCTTTTTTTCCTTATGATATAAAAAAATGATGAAATAAATAGGCACAAACTTGTTAGCGTGCTTACCTATTTTCGATGTACTGATTACATACGCAGTGAGTACGCAGTGCCTACTAAGCGCGCGATAAGCGAAGAACTATAGCGCAAGAATGGTTACTCCCTGTCCTCAAGGTACTTCCTAATTCATAGTAACAAAAAGACAAATAAAAGGCTCGATAAAACAAGAATAAACGAGAATTTTGGTCAATACTCGTTCTTCTCCTCTCCCTTGTCCGCCATTTTGTATGTTTTGAAAATGGCCATCGCCATGGTGATCATGTTATGGTTGGTGACGTAGACCATTGTTTTCGCTTCTTCCAAAACTGGCATACTCCCGAACTGTGGACTGTGGGTTTATCTTAAGCTCATTGCATGTTTCAAAGTTGCACTATGTAAATCGGCCCATAAATTGACATTTCATATGGATGGTAATTGAAAACTTGTACTTTACTCCTTTTTTCCTTTCCTTTTTCTTTTTGTTTTTTGTAGGCTTGCTTGGAGACGTTTGATGGCAAATTTATAAACGCAACTGGTAAGTCGAGCAGTTAAAAAGCAATTTTTTACAACCACTCTCGATCTCCTCGATCTTAAGAAGAACTTCCTCAAGAAGTGCCAATTACAATCCCTTTATTAAAGTTGTATAGACCTCTTTAGTCTGTCTGTTTTGTTTTCCCAGTGTAGGTAAATCTGTACAGTAGTCATCAGAGTCAAAGCGAATTGTGTATACCTGTCGTTGACCGTATTAAACGTTAGTTGTTGACCTGATCGGTTGATTAAGTCATATTAGAGACCTTTAGATTCGAGGGCGAGAACGACTACGAAGACGAGATTTGAGTATTCTCAAAAGCATCTTCACTGTACTTTTTACACCAGAAAAGTTAGCACTGTTCTTTTTTATTGAGGAGGGTAAACCCTCCCCGATCCCAAAATGATAAAACTTCTTACATTGGATAACTTGTTTCCGTCAGTACGACATTGTCGAACGTCTGAGTTGTCAAAAAGGTTAACACTTCCCTGGACGAGTATGTATACAGTAGCTTGTTGTAATATAACATGTGTGCTGATTTCTGCAGATGAAGAAGCAGCTAATTATCAGCTGGATGTGGATTTATCCACCCTTACATTCACCCATCATCCATTGTTTAGCAAGGAACATGTGTTGGCATCTCGACTACAGCAATATTACAAACAGTACACAGAGAGGCGAAGGAAAGCAATGTCCAGTCACTACTCTGACAAGGTAGCCTGAGAATGCCAAAAAACAGACAGTTATTTATACCACTCTTTAAGAACGCCAGGGGCGGGAGGGGGACGTGGTTTAGGGCAGTTGCGACATATTCCGGCTTCACAGACTGTATTAGAATTAATTTCGTTGCTGTCATTTTTGCATTGGGAAGACAGTTTGTATTATTACTACCTGTCCCTGGAAACATAACAAAAATTCCTGACGTCAGAATGCACTTTGAAAAGTCCTTGGTAGTTTTTGAAACCCCTTTGGACAAATGTCAGGAGTTTTCGGAAACGTGGTAACATTAGAGAAATTGACCTACAAGATCCAAATAATGACAAGTGAACTCCATCTGATAATATTCGGTTATTGTCACACATCTCCGGGACATTTTTATGGGCACCTAAGGTCTGTGGATGCAATGTTTCTCAAGCAATAGAATACGAACAAATCTCCTACTGGTAACTTCTCTCTCTCTCTTTTTCTCTTTTTTTAAGAAAATCCATCAACTGAGATATTTCACAATAGTCAGGCTAAATCACTTGTTTAATTTTACACTGTTTTAGTATATTCTCAGCTTGCCTTTCCCTCAAATAACCATCCGATGACTCTGACCACAATTAAATATATTTTTCAGTTGAATGCTTTAAAGATTGCTCTTCAGCAGCTCCAGCAAAATGCAGAAAGAGCGGTGAGTATAAAGTCAGCTAGTTGCATTGCCAAATCAGCATCATCGCTTTTTGCGCCAGAAGGCCCATAAGGCAAGGCACGAACAGGGCCTTTAGCATTAAGCCCAAACTCCCAGCCTGGAGGAACAGGAGATAAGGTATTATCTGGTCTCCACCCTTCGACCTGTTCGCGGGTGGGACCTGGCTACAAGACTTCAGTCGACATAGCACTAGTGGGTCGTGCCAACGCGCAAAACGGCTCGCCACGAAAAGTTGGTGATCATATCGAGGAAGGCCTTTGCAGATAAACTTCAAATAATCTGTTAACTAAAATCACCCGACATAGCTTTAGGGGGCCATGGAAACGCGCAAAGCGCCACATCACAATGAAGTGGTGTTCCTAAGGTTACAGCATGTCTTTTCAGGTTCTCTTGTTGTCAGTATTTATTTATTTATTCATGTTTTTCTAAAAGGGGAAGGGTAAATCAAGGGCGATCTCAGTGGCAGACGCAAATAAAAGAATCAAGGAGTACAAAGATCAAATCAGGTTTAGCACATCATTTCTTTGCCCTATATCTTTTTAGTGAAAGCGGTCTTAGATTTTTATCTTATTATCGCACTGCTCCTCGTTATATTTAGAGCTTTGAAGAAATTCTTAAGGCCTCGTTTATATGGAGAAAACCTGTCACCATTAGACGGGTCACCTTCTCAGCCCAGACAACTTTAATGTTTCACTCTAAAATAACTTAGCCTTTCCCTCAAAAGTCACATGAATGTTCCCCTAAGTTAACTGATTTGTGGATTAAAAGTTTATTGTTTGATTGAAATTATAAATTTATTAATTGGAGCTTCGCTTTTAGCTCTGGCTAAATCTATATATTATGAGAAAAAGTTGACCTAATTGCCCGAGCCAAGCCCCAGCGTTCGCGCATGCTTTAATTCTCCTAAATATCGCTCTCGCAAACTAAGTCGACCCGGCTTTTGGCGAGTCATAGTGTTTAAACAAAGTTGGCCCGGCGAGGAAAGCAACCCTTCTAGCCGAGCCAACCTTTTTTTCTCATGTAAACTGTTCTCCGCTTTTTGTAAGGAAATGCATGAAAAGTTGATTTGCCCAGGATAGCGGTTACTTATAGCCGTTAACGGCTCTATTTTCACTGTTTTTCCTGACTAATAGATAATGTCAGTAACAGTGCTCACATTGTGGGAGGCTCCTCCTAATATGTTCTACAATTGGTATAGGATTAGTAGAGCCAAAACTAATCGTGGAATTGCACACATTTTAAGGATCCTACTGATGAACAGTTACTGCTTTTAGATAGTTTTACACGCAGCAACAGTTATTTGCGGTCTGTTCCCTTAGAATAGGCGGGGGAAACTGCCAACCTACCCCTCCCCTAAGCCAACATTTTGCCCTAAGTGAGTTGTAAGTGTTAATGTTGGCTTAGGGGAGGGGTTGGTGGGTAGTTTTCCAGAAACATATAATGATCCCAATTCTTCTCCATATAAACGGGGCCTAAGTCATATTTCATATCCCATTCCTTTTTTTTACAAACAAAAGGACAAGCCTAGGAACTTATTCCTTCCATTCACTTACTTTAGAACTTTCAAGTAGGTAAATAAATAAATACATACATACATAGATAAATAAATAAATAAATAAATAAATAAGCAAATAAATAAGAGTACAGTACATATTTAAAAACCGTAACAGGTTAATTGCTTTGCTACGTGAATTAAGCTAGTACAGTGTATGAGAAAGCAGCGTTTTAGAAAGGTGAGAAAAACAGTCGCCCATTTAGTTATGGAATTGCCATTTTAATCCCTCTATTTTGTTTCGCTCTAAAAATGTGTAGACAGACAAGAAAACTGCGAGATTCAGAAGATCATAGTGACAGAAATTTGCTCAAGAGTTTGCTAAAGTGAGTTATAGTACACTTTATGCATGATATTTATGACCACGAAGGCTAACAATGCTGTAACAATTCGATCTTTAAACATACATAGGGCGATGTGCCATGCCATCAGCGAGCAGGAAATTGTTAAACGTTGGATTGTATTCGTTACAGTAGAGAGCTTTAGATTTGAGTAGGAGTACGTTTTAACTTAAAGTTTTTGTTTGTGTGTGTGTGTGTTTTCTTAAAAGAATCCCGGAAAGCTTCAAGTTACCTTTTTTCACCCAAAAAAGTTATTACGGTTATTTATAACGAAGGAGGTTAAGCTCTTTCCTGATAGCGGAATGTTAAAGCTTCGTACATTTGATAACTTAATCCCGCCACTACGACATTCTCGCTAAAACTCGTACTAGAATGACGATGGCTATCACGTTTTCCCGCCAAAATGACGCTTGTTCACGCGTGAGCAATACTCAGTATTGGGAAACTCTCGTATACTCGTAGTCGTTGTCGTCTCCGAATCTAAAAGTCTCTAGTTTGGAAAGTAAGAGATCAATGGCTTTGTGTTAAAGAAAATTGCCTCATTAAATATGAACCTTACATTGCTCCTTTATGTATAGATGCTGGCATGAACTGAAGAATCTCAGAGAAGCTCAGGGTTATGTAAACACTCAATTAAAACTGGTGATCAGAAGGTCAGTAACAACATTTGTATCTATTTTCCTCTCCCATCCCCTCCATGCAATGTTGTGCCGCTGTTCGAGCTGCCATAAGAGCGTTTTCACTCACGTGGCCATCATCTACGCAAATTTATTGGAACAAAAGAAAGCATTTGCAAAAGAAAAGAGTTTAACTCCCACGGGACTGGTTTGGGACACCAACATGGCCGCCGTTTCATTGTTTTGGGACACCAATGTGGCCGCCGTGACGTCATGTGAAAACACTCTATAAACACCAAACACCCCAACTTTGAATGGAGGGGACAGGGGACGGGTGTGGATTCTTTTGTTCTCTGAAGTTACCTTATTTGAGTAGAATGTCCCAACGATACTGTCGCCGATTGTTGGTAATTAAAAACTAGCGCCTGGTTACTAACTTTTTCAATTTGCATGGATTTCACTGTATCCTGAATAATGGTTTGATACAGTTTTGATTCGTTCTAGGGAGGAAAGAAATAAACAGGAGGACGAGGCTCTCTTAGAAGAAGAGATTGCTGAAGAACTACAAGAAAGAAGGTTAGAAAAATAGGTCTGCTGCAAAGTGCAATGAACACAGAACGTAAATAGCTCGCGATTTCTAGAGTCTGGTACATTTCACTGTCTGGTAACTGAGTCTGCCGCGATTTGGGTTCTGTTTCAGTTATTTCTTGAACTGCTGTGAGAAATTCTTTTGTTCTTTTTGACACATCCATGGTAATGGAGCTTGGTAAAAGGTTATACACTAAAAGCGACTTCCCACAATGTATCCTCACATTCCGGACTAGTAATTGTCGAAAATGTTCTTTTCTTAATTGGTATTTGTTGGTCGGGTGTTGAAAACTTTCATTGTGTGCAAATGAATCTTGTGATGAGCATGCGGTCAGGCGGTTTATTTTCGGCGATGATTGAAATGACGCGCCATGTTCTCATCACGTTTTTGATCTCTGGCAATGATGTAATTTCTCTGGAATCGAGGCCCTTGAATTTTCGTGTAATTATACACGCGTATAGCTTGCGACCGCAAAAGTATTTCCGGTTGTCGCTATCACGCGTACTAAATCAATTCAAAAGCAAATCGTTGAATACGATGTAAAAGGTAAATATCATGAAAAATACTCGACCGTCGATAAAATAGGAAGTAAAAAACCTTTAGCGGGTAAATCCTGTTTCGTGTAGAATTAATCGCCTCCTCATTTCTTATCTAATCTCCAAGCAAGCGAGACTAATCCGAGGTTAAGAGCGTTTTTGTTGGGTGTAGCTCCCAGACGTTGCATGCTACGTGCTACGTGCGCAAATCCAAACCCTTTGGGGTGGCAGGCTAATATAAGGGAGTACCTCCCCCCCCGGGTGTTGAGACAGTTGCAAGATTTCTAGATATATTTTAAAATTTATTGGATTTATCATCAAGGTGATGATGTTGATGTTGTTCTTTTTTGTTTTTCTAACTGTAAAAGTTGATAATTATTGTGATCACTACTGACGTTGGTTTAAGGGTAAGAGTATGGTAAAACGTATCACATATACATGTGTTTTATTCGGTAGGGAGGAGTTTGAATCAGAGTACCAGGACAAACTCGCTGAGTATGAAGTGGAACTTAAAGAATGGAAAAAAGAGGCCAAAAGAAGGGTAACATTGTAGCTGCTACTTTCTTGTCCCTTTGTGATCCAGTTAGGCACAAATTTTTCCCGGTTTATTTCTACTTGGGAACGAGGTTGGCTAATAAATTTATTTGTACCCCGAGAACGGGGTTTTGAAAGTATCTAGATCACTTGGCCTTTAAATCCGTTAAAAATCATGTTCTCTTTTCTAAGAATACATCGTATCCCAATTTGATTCGCCCTGCTAAAGTTTAGTAAATAAAACTGTTTTATTCAAACCGGACCGCTAGATTAACTGCTGGTAATGATAAGATCATCATTGTGATCGTTATCTTTGTTAGTAGATTTTTTAACTTTAACTGAGGAAACAAAACTTCTATGATAATTATTGCCTTTCAGAAAAGAGCTCGCATGGAAGGGCAGGATTCAAGTCTGATTGCGGAGGAAAATGGTGCAGAAAACCGTGAGAATAAAATTATTTATCTGTTGATTGGGCTAAAGCTTTAAATATACTCACTCACCTTTTTGGTAATTGTAATCTTTCTTTGTTTGCTTGTTTCCTCCTTATGTAGATCTTTCTTAAACAGTATGCGGCTGAATAATGTCACTAACCAATACCAGAATCGTTCCAGGTTTTGTTTCGTCATTCAAACCTCTCTAAGACTCACTACCAGTGTTAAAGGTTGAGGTGCTACATCAGGTAGAATAATTTGCATGTATGTCGAGGCGTAAAAAATTGTTTTCATTATCACTTGCTTGGCAGTTCCTCCTCGGCCTGCACGGCCCCCGAAGTTCGACGAAGCCGCTGAGTACGAGCAACTGAAAGAAAATGCAAGACTTAAGAGACGAGCACCAGGTAATGTTTACTTCATTAAACAAAACTGCATGGTAGAGAAATGCCTTAATTCTACTTAAACAAATTAACACTTGTTTTCTCAGGGGCTGTTTACATGGAGGTGGGGGACCCCAGGTAGGTGAGGTAACATGTGGCGGGTCATCCCACCTATCATGTAAACGTGATCAAAATAAAATGAGAGATTATATGGACAGGTGGGTTACCTCACCTACCTGCGGTCCCCTACCTCCATGTGAACAGGTCCTTAGTCAATCACGGACCCTTTCCATTCCAGACTGCATACCCATTCATCCTTCTGTCGGTCTCTCAATTCCTCTCTCATCCCCCTCTCCCTCTCTTTCTTCTTTTTTAATTGATTTATTTAGCCGCCCATGACTTTTTTTTCTTTGTTTTAGGTGAACCCATCCTTACTCCTGAACTTCTTACGTCCGCCAATGTTACGCCAATAGACCAGGTCATAAGGTAAGTCATTGACTTTTGTGAAACCTTGATAGTGTTGGATCCGCGGTAACTCAGTTTTGTGATTTTGTGGGGCTGTGAAACGTTATCAATAGCACCAATTTCAGTTTATTGTTTATATATCTAAGCAGAGCGTAGCTAGTTTTTTGCACATAGCCTTGAACACAACACTACAAGCACTCCTTGGAACTCAAACAGCTACAAAAGATTGATCATATTGTTACACACCATTATAAATCTTCTGATTTTGTAGCCGAAACTCTATATGTGTAAGCAACAATAATTTTACAATATTGCGTAAGGGGGCGGGGGACAGTTTCGTTACAGTAAACAGAAATCTATTGTTATCGGCGGGGAAGTGAATCTGCCGTCACAGTCCATCAATGAAGCAATAGCCAATAGCCAATTCTTGAAGACATGAAATCGATTGTTTTACATTGTTTGCTTACCCGCTTTGTGTTGATTTTGTTTTTGATCCTTTTGTTTTAGGCCTGAAAAGCAGAGGCGCACTGAGATGCAGAATTGGTCAGCATTTGTAAAAGTTTTATTCAACGGTAAAGAGGTGTCAAGAACAGTCGTCAAGTAAGTCTTTACTTTCATAGTCAATCTCCAACTTATTTCAGTCATTCCTTATTAGTCAGTCATTAAAAGTCAATCGTTTATTATGTGACTGGCTATAGGGGTATGATGAAAATAAGCAATGGCATATAGTAGCTTTTCTGGATTGAACTACATGAGTTCCCTTTGGATAAGGTCGTTGATTCCAGAAAGGAAGTAAAAATAAAGAAAACGAAAGAAGAAGAGGGAAAAAGAGGATAAGTTCTGCTTTGGCATCTGGACCTTTGCTACAAGGTCTCATATTGTTGCGGTGGGGGTGTAAGTGTTCACTGTTGGTCGTGTACACCTTAACTAAACTGAGAGTACCACTACCGCAGCTGACACTCACATGTTAAACGACCCCCACACAAACCGTCACACAGACGAAGCAGTGGTGAAACAGAGGAATGGCGGGGGCGGGGGGGGGGGGGGGTAAGGGGTTGAGCGGTTGGCGAGCAGCATCTCCAAATGTCCCAATGCAACAAAAGGCTGTCTCGTGTGCTACTATTTTGGTATGTGACTAGCCATCGCTGATGACCTTTTGTATCTCTGTATGTTATCTGTAATTAAGAAAATAGGAAGAAAAGAAAGGAAAGCACTTTACAGACATCTTTTCACTTTGTTGTGTTATCAGGAGGCTTGCGGCCGACTTTTCAATTCATTTTGGCGAGATACGCAATATTCGGATCGTCCAGTGGCCAGAAAATATTAAACTACAGGTAAGAAAACTCAACTTATGGAGCGACCTCATCTTTCTCGCCGATCACGATGCGTTATTGTCCTTCCGCTGTATTCTTTAAGTCGTTTACATAAAACGAGATAGAATATTGTAAATCGCGACAGTTTTGCCTCCTACAATTTGGAGTGGCGCATTACAGCTTTACATTGTTTAGACTCATAAACTTAAGAGCAGTTGTCTGTAAGATTCGAGCTATATTAAAAAGGCGCTGCCACACTATCTCACCGAATTGGCTAAAAATTGGCATGTAGACTTGATTTGAGGTCTTTAATAAGGAATAGGTAACTTTAGGTTCTAATTCCTCCTACTTCGGAAATTATCGACATGGCCGGTTTTGGGGTGCCTCGGACCGGCGCCATATTGGTTAATAGAAGCTGCTTTTGAGCCTTCGACTACAACCCTGTCTTCAAAGCTAATCTTCCTTTGCCAATACAGATTGAAAGAACAATCCCTCTTTATTGTATTTTTAGAAACTGCTTCGAAATTGATAACGTTTTCGCAACGATCGATTAAACTTTTGGTGGGTATACTTTTTGAATTTTTTACACCCGCAAAATTAACAGAATTTTAAAGACGTATATCTCTTTTGCCACATCGCATTGAAGCTTGCCAATCTGCCTGAATACTCACTGTTTGTAGTTAAATCGAGTTCATTAATAAAAAAATTGGGCAAATTTAACGGAGCAGAAACAAAAGTAATGAATGGAAGACTGTTCTAGCGACTTTGTCAATAATCTGTACACCGAATACTCGCCAGGTGTTGCCAAAATTACAATCGATAATAGAGTTTCTGTCTTTAAATCTGAGTGATCTGTGTAATAAAATTAGCCTCTGTAATATAATCGATAACTCTGCTGCGAAAAACAGTATAAAAAAGGCAGATTGTATAAGGAAAAGGAAAATGAATTTGTTATGTTTATGCTATGACGCGTAAACAAAATTCAACCATCACAGTCGAACTGGAATTTTCCTGATTTTCCTCCAGTTCCTTTACCGAAACCAGAGCTTTTAAAATTAACCATAGTAATGAAAATTGAGATGTATTACCTTACTCCACGACAAAGTTGCCAGTTTCCACCTTGATCGAAAAAAAGTAATATTTTCCCACGCATATCGCGGGTCGTCACGTTCCTTGCCTGGCGTTACAACTCACGTGAAACCGTCTGGTTTCAAACAACTGAACTGAAGAATCCGTGAAAATCTTAGCCAGGCAATAAATAATGGAAGTTGATATAAGTTATCATTATTAGTGAGCGAGCATCGATGCGATGATAGTTCCAGCTACATGTGTTTACAGCGTTTGAAGATTTACTCAAAACTCATGAGACATGAGCCCTTGAAATAAACATCATTACTTCCGGTTTTAAAAATTGGGAGTTGGCAAAGTAATGAATAGACTCATTCTACGTTGTACACCGTTAACAACGGTTCCGTGTACAATTTTCAGGTATTTTGTCTCAATCACGAAGCCCGTTTTGAGGAGATTCTTGATAAACGGAAAAATTGGTTTGGAAGGGGTTAAGAAGAATGAGGGATGAGCCCGGGACAGCAAAAACCACAGTCACCCCACCGAAGGGCTTTAAAACTGTGCGCAAATGCCTCACCCTAGGGACAATTCCAGATTTTTGTTTCCTTGAAAAAGCTTAAAATCGCTAGACAATGCATGGACAACTCCTGACAGTCTTAATTCAAAATAAAGTAAACAGCAAAGAAAATTCAGTTAGAGACCAGAGTGTTTATCCGATATCGCGAACAATAAGGAGTGATTGAAGATGTGTCTGCAGTTTAAGGTAAAATCATTTACCATGCTCACGGACCTTTCGACAACATAAGTGTACCGACTGATGTAATATCAGTGGTAAAAACGAACGCTTTTTACTGTAGGACGATGACGTCATCATACAAAAGGCGTCTTCACTCTGGTATCCAGAATTTCAAACGGTCAAAACCTAGTAATTTTCTCTGCTCGTCAAATGAAAAACGCCTCTGAGGGCAAGTAGTGGTAATGTGCTTGTTAGTAAGACGTCCAACATAAGGAGACATTCATAATCAACTCGGTTAATGCATTGATAAAGGAAAACTTCTCCTTTACCCTTAGGGACAGAGTTCAAAGGCGCAAACGATTTTTAGTTCAGCTCTAGCATGTGTTGTCTAGCGATTTGCTTTGAGCTTCTCTAAATTTTCCAGATCAAACAAGCTGTGCCCATCGTACATAATCTTGTCTGGGCTCCCCTTGAAAAATTGCAATTCATCAGATACCTTCAAGTTCATCCTCCGCCGCGACAACTTTGTGATCTATTTTAATGGGTGGTTTTCTGGATCTATCCTATGGCTTGTCCTTTCTGGTCGTCACTATATTAGCGAACATGTTTCAATTTCTCTCCAGCAAAAGTCTCTATCAGGAGCGTAGCCAGGACTTTCCAGTTGTGCGGAAAATTTCCAAAACTCACCCTTACATCTTACTCAGTTCTCTCGCAACGTTTCCCCACTACATTTGCTAATTCTGTTAACTAGGTGAGGTTATGCGTGGATGAAATGGCACTTGCAATCGGTGAGAAAATTAGGTTAGACACTTTACCCTCAACGACTACTCTCACGTTTTGCTGACACTTTCTAGCTTAGAAGAGATAAGTGAAGCTTTGCCTTCCCCACTCCGTGTAAAAAAATGTCGTTCGGCTGTTCAAACTACTTTTAGAAGACAACAAACTTCCCAACTTTAATTTTTGATAAAGGTATAAGGGTAGGAATCCAAATTGTTTTGGAGTATTTCACTGATTTTAACACGATGATTGTAAAGTAGTGTCTAGTGAGTACGGGGGCTAATGACCCATCGTAAAAATCTGAAATTGAAAACAAAAATCTTGTATAACCGAGTAGTACACAATTTTAGTTATTTTATTGAGTTGTGAAAAATCACAAATTTGTTTCTTCTTGAATGTGTTATACTCTCATCCATTCAGTCTTTCCGATATGCCCGTCGGATAGCGGAAGTTAACGTAAATGATCGATTACCTGAAAAGAAGCTACCATCCTAACTTTCCACCTTCGGGTCTTTTCCCTAGCCATAATTTTTTTCCCTCAAGGAATTTTTCTCTGTTTTACATAATAATTGGTCTTGCATTCAGCTTATCGATTTTGAGAGCCTAGTCCTATGCCGTATTCTGATGCGATCTACTTTATGTAGCTTTCCTCCCAACTAACAGCTCCTTACTGAACAAAAACGGCTTTAATTGAGTCTATTCAAAGAACTAGCCAATATTTTTGCAGGGGTAAGCACAATGTTCCTAATTCCCCCTAGTCCCCTTCTTAGACGCTTTCATGTGCATCAGGTGTTAAATTTTCTTTTCATAAGCTACAATGCTCATAATCGCGCATTCTGATGTCATTTATGCTTAAAAAATTAAAAATTAGTTTATCGAAGAAAGAGTGAATTAAAGGTGTCATGAGGCGTTTGTGATTTCATGAACTATTTGACGCGGTCCTTTTCTTACGGCTTATGTCCGTTGGTGAAATCGCTACTTGGGTTTTCTTGGATTGAAAAGGGCGGGCTCTTTCTAAACGTGGCGTTGTTTATGGGACCTTAGTATTCAGAACAGAATCAGTCGATGGCAAACAACGAAAAGGCTTTTATGTGGTAAGTTACAGTGATGAACCTTGCCTCGAGACGGTCATATTTTTGTACATACTTCATGCAATTCAGTGTTGGTCTGAAAATGTTTTGTTATGGATGGGGGAAGGGTGGGGGGAGAGATCAGAACATGTACCTCGTGTTGTTTACGAGACATTAAAGTAATGAAAACTGTTAAACAGTCTTCTACAAATCAAAATAGTTGCAAATGCTTACGGGAGGCCCTAACTATATGATGATAAGAAGGGCTATATTTGGAAAGGTGCATGGTCATGGAGTTAAGGAGATTTGACTAATCAACCAATTTCCCGCTAAACATAAGGGCGTGGCCAGTGGCCCCAAAATTGTGTTCGCTCGCCCCGGGCTGGCTCGACTTTTGGGATACGGTTATGGGGTTATAAACACTGAGTTCATCATCTATATAGCCTACTCGCCCCACGTGACTGCATTTCGCTTTTCAGAGACCCATCAGTTACTGTATGACCCTCTCCGATCAGATTTTATGTCCGTGGTACTGGTGGTGAGGTCAGTCTACAAGCAGAGTCGTGAAAAACACCGCCACTTGAGCCTTTACGTTCAAAACATTCCTGGCTATCGGGAAAAAAAGAAGGAGCTTTTAAAAATATTAAATAAAATGTCATTTCAAATATCACTTTGTCACCGTTCGAAAATTATTGTGAATCAGACCGAATGAAAGTTCACTCAAAGAGGGGGAGGGGGGAGGGGGGTTGTTAGTTCTAAACAGTTCCAGTTAGCTAGAAAATTAAAAGTTACGAAAAAATAGTGGGCGAACTGCAGAATACATGCAAGAATGAGAAAGAAAATAGAAAACAACTTCCTGTTCAAATTCGGGGGAAACGTTTAATCGCGTAAAGAAGACTGAACTTGATTGAGGTTGTTCATTTCAGTTCCGTTCCGGCGTGCAGTTCGTTGTCCTCCTAAAAATAGCTTCGTCTCCCACCGATCATTCCATGTCATATTTTGGGGACTTATTATTCAGTAATGACGGTACGATCAGGTAATTTGACTTGATGAGTTCTTTAATTTCATTTCATGTACTAGTTTTATATCTTACGCTGGAAAGATCTGCCAAACAGTACATTAGCAAAGGTAGGTTCCTGTTTACACGTGTAATTATCGAATACCATACAATTTGCATAAAGCTACAGTGCACGGTTGGTTTTTCTAGCCTTTTGATTAAAATTGACAACGTTTGCGTTATCTTTGCCTAACAAAATATGTAATTTGTAGCTGTATACAGCGAAATACTACAGAGAAAATTGTAACTGTGCAGTAAACGAGCGGCTCCCGATTGGTCTGGGAAATCGAAGAGCGAACTTGAGCTAGTACCGTGTGTAACAAAATTTATAATTTTCATTTTAGCGCATATTTCAAGCTCTTCGCAAGATCAGAATCAAAAGATCACCTGTTTACATTTCAAGGGAGGGTTTTTAAGCGATAGATAGGGTTTAAGAGGCACGATCAATTTTTAAAGAATTTTCTTTTCAAATATTCACCGAATTTTGTTTTGAAGTTTTAGCGGCCAAGTGGCTGAACCACTGCGCATTCATGCATTCATATTTCTGTTCCGTTGCATTTGCCCAATTATTTTATTCAACAATCTAACTTAGCTATAAACAAACTATGTTTAGTTAAAATGGCTTAGTCTAAATCGATGTGGCATGGGTGATATTGGCCTTCCAATTTCTACCAAATTTGTGTACCGTTTAAGTACCGAAAAAGTGCTGTGAGAAGTTATAGCCGTTCGTAGCTCAGGCTTAACCATTTTCAGATAAGAGTAGGTAAATGAAAGGAGGAAGGATAGTTCTTTGCAACTGTATGAGTCACGATTAAGTTATTTTAATGATAAGGCTAGAATTAATTACTGTAAATCTCCTTCAGTTCACCAACATGGCGGCCGCTCGAGGCCTCGTCAAAACTGTCATTCCTGTATCTTTGAAACCAACGAGAATTCGAACCTTAGAATATGCATTCAGTATTTAGGACACCATTCTAAGACTACATGCCAAAAATCAGCCAAATCGATGAGGTACCGTGTCAGGCCGAAGTTCGAATTTTACAGAAAATCACTCTTAAGTTATTTCACTGACATGTTTCCCCAGACTTGTGTATTTAAGCGCTGTGACACTATACGACGAAAATTTTAACCATTTTTTTATGGCTTTTGTTTGTTTGTTTTTTTAAAATTAGTTATTTTCAACGGGTTTTAAGCCCCGTACAAACGGACGCAACATTGTTGGCCAGCAACTCCCAACATTGTTGGATGTTACATGTTGCGTCCCGTTTGCACACCCTGTTGCATGCTGTTGCGTGTTGTTGGAAAGTGTTGCGCAAAGTTCAAGAGCGGTCAAACTTGTTACCAGGTACAAACGGACGCAACAACTCCCAACATTCTTGGGCCGACGTGTTGGGAGTTGTTTCGTCCTTTCGCAGGTAGCTTTAAATTATACAGGTCGCGCTAAATTAGATCGATACTTGCGTACCCGGGCTGGAGATTCCAGACTGAAAACTCTGAAAGTCTGTGCTCTGTTTACGGAGTCTTCAAGCACAGAAAGCAAGTCAGCCTCGGTTTTACATATGTATCTTGTTTATTTGAACCTAATTAGAGTTCTCACTCATGTTTACAGTTAATGGAGTCTGGGATACAAAATAAGCTTGTGGCAGAGCTATTCCTGCCAATACCTGAGCCAAGTCACATATCTGGAAGAGTTGAACTGGAGTCGTTTGAGTTTAGTAGTGATCAACAGGTTTTCTACAGACACGAGGGTGTTGGAAGTGGTGAGTATACTTCAGTAAATACGAAACAAAAATCAAACAACATCAATACTGGAAAAATAATAAACTTGTTTTGAAATATTTCGGCTGAATCGCTTAGCCTTTATCAGTCGAAAGAACGCACCGTACCGCGGTCACGCTACCTTAGGACGGTCACGTGACCAGAGAACTGCATTTTGGATGTTTCATTTCTCCAGTCCATTCCCCCTTCCCTGTTAAGATTTCATAGGAAACGTGAAATGAACTCGCTTTTCATTGACGTTAAACGTTTTATTATATCTAACGTTTAACCGAACTAGCTTGTGCTTAACCATGCAACCCAATAATCAGTTTTGACGATCAAGATTTAGTTTCCACAGTCCTTAACCGAAGTTGAAAATTCTTATATGACTGAGCCAGTTAACAATTAGCCCTTTGTTATCGTAGGCCAGCCTCTGGACTTCGCCTCCAACAATGCAACTGAACCCCAGCCTCCTATCTACCTTCTGACGTCTGGTACCATCCTGGCCAGTCTTAGTTGGGCTGTGGGGAATGATGGGAACGTTATGGCTCCACCACTGCAGACAGGCAATCCAGCTTCAAACCTTAGGTCAGTAGGGGGCCAGAAAATGGCTTCGTTTTAGCAACTGCCAACCACAATTGTTTCTTTGAGTCAGCTTCCTAGCAAGAGTATGTTTCCAGTGACTTGATCGGTCGAGGCATCATGACTAACTTTGATTTATACTTTACAATTATTAAAACCACCTACTGAAAGGGTAAATATTTTAGCAAAGTGCGGAGTTAGCTAGACTAGAGAGTATTAATAGCTAGTTAGTATGAGCCCTCTTTGGCTCGGGTGTGATGAATTGCGTGCACACAGATTTTAAAAAAAAAAAACAGCAAACAAGCAAACAAAAATAAACACACTCGGTCACTCGCATTGTCAAATTTTATCACTTGTTTGCCGCCTGAAATACCACGTGCATTGCTTCTATCCCATCGATCCTAAAGCGCGTGCAAAGATGCCAGGTATCGTGAATAAGGACTATTCGAATAAGACGGAAAATAACTCAATTTGCTGTTCGCAAAGAGTAGGGGACCTATACCCCGGTGGTGTGGTCTTTCTCTCATGGAGGGAGGGGACTGTTAAGGGCTCAGAAATAATTGGCTCCACGCTGTGGAGGTTACCCTACCAAGAATTAGCGAATCTAAAAAAACATATAATTAAAGTTAAAATTAGGATTATCTCGTGAGAAGACCCTACCCGATATGATGTTGACCATGTATTTATTTCATTTACAGTGCTGTAAAACGATATGATGCTTTGGCTGCTCTTGGAGCAGCTGGAATGGTGGACATACAAAGTCTGGTGAAGTGGATAGGCAAGTTTAAGGATCCACTGGAAATATGATTATTTTATCCTCTGATGTGAAAACTTTTGCTTATAGTTAAAGAACGAAATTTGAAAAAGTGGCCCTTTTCCAAGTTATGCGCAATCCGTTTATAGTTCTATCCTGCAAACAAAGACAATTTATTGGTCTTCCTAAAGGCTTCTTTTCGGAGGCTGGACAACAGAAATGTTACTTCAGTGTTGTAGTTGGAGATCTGTAATGTTAATACTATGTATGTATATGTGACAGGACGAAGATCAGGCCCCATTTCCTCTTAAAACGCGCCCATGTTAGTTTTCTTTTCTATATGTTTAATTGAAACGGAGAATGAGTTGCGCGTTATAGAAATTATTGTTATACAGTCAAAGTAGTCGCAACTGAAGCTGGTCGTTTACAAGGATGGGTGACGAACTACTTCTTCATTTTGACGCGAAATGTCAGTGTTGATTTATAATTTTACATGTGAAACTATAAAATTGCAATGGCAATCTTTTGTACGTCTCAGTTCCAAGATGGCGACGAAGTTTTAAAATTTAATGAATAAAGATGTAAACCTAAAAACACGAAAGAGCACATCAAGAAGGATCGTAACAGGTATTTTGTCGAAAAATTCTGAAAATTCTGAACTCAAGCCAAATTTAAGCTCTAAACTTTTGAGAGTATGAAGTTCTCGATCGACAAATACGATAAAACCAGAATAAACATGTCAAAAATCCACTATTGCGAACGTAATTCGTCTCCCATGATATTAATAGGTTATCAAATGGTATACTCGTAAAATTAGGGAATAATTTCACTTGCGTTTTGTCCAAATCGTAAAGGCTCGGAAAATTATTAGGATTTCGACTAAACGCGCGTGAAATTATTCCCTAATTTCACTCGTCACCATATGATTACACACACTTATTTCAGTGTCTTCATTTACTTACTTATTGGTTTTTGGTATATTTACGTTTCTTCAGAACAATCACACTTGGACCCCAATGATCCTGCTAATGCTGACATCATGAATATCATTAAGGTGCTGAAGCAGTTACGCTATTCATTACCTCATATTGTACTTTCTGTGTAGCAGGGATTAACTTTTGTTTTCCTTTTTAAATCCTTTGCAATAAGAAAGTGTCGCCGAATTGTTCGTAACGTCGCTCTTGTAAGACTAATAATAACAATAATAATAATATTCAACATTTATGTTGCGCATTTTCTATAAAAATAGAAAACTAGACAAGATTGCTTCTATCTCACAAGAGTAAGCAGGCTGCTTTACAATAAATTCTCGTACACACAAAAAAGTTTATTCTTCTCCTTTTTTCTGTGCGCAGCGAATTTTCTCTGTTTATCTTAACGAAATCTGCTTTGTTTGTCAGCTGAGTCATAGTCTTCAAGACGGTCCTAACGTACCACAGTACTTCCGGTTAAACCAGTTAGAGGAAGAATGCGAATTTGTCAGCCAAAAGGAGTTCGCAGAGTCAAAGAGATTCAAACTTATACAACTAAGAGATAAAGGGGTAAGATGGGGTACTTAAACTCGAAAAACCCTCCTTCTGTTTATTTTTTACCATTTACTGCAGGAGTTTGCTTGAGGTCGAGACTACTTATTTGGCAGTTAATTGAAACTGGGTCTTGCGCCGCGTTGCAAGTTGTCTAATTCATCAGATTGTTTTGCATCAGTTTCTTTGATGCTAAATTCCGAAAATCCTACAAATATGTATTACTCTGTTGTAGATTTAGATTTTCTAGAACAGTTTTGTAAATTTACTACACCTCTTTACCTTTAATTGATTATTTTTGCAACGATAGCGTTGTATGAAGAGAGAGAGTTGTAGGTTTTCGATGCTGTAATGCGCATTTGAAAACATTTTTTAACTTGAGATTGGCGCATTATGAATTAACAAATT